GGTTATGGTGACAAATTATAAATATAAACATTGTAAATAGAAAAGCAAAACATCTTTCAAAAAACTATTTGAAAAATTCTTTAATTAGCTATGTAGCTAATGCAAATGACACAAATAAAAATATTATCGATTCTCAACTGAAGAAGCTGGTCTATTTACGAAACCTTAGCCAAATTGAAATTGATAACTAACTTACCAAGATAAATTAAGATAATAGGTTAGCTACACAGCTATAAACGTGGAGAGGCCTCTTTCTGTTACTATCCTTCAAACCTGTGGAACTCAGTTTACCTTTTATTAGACAGTCATTAAAATTAATTAAAATTCTACGTCTCTTTTGATATCAGTGTTTGTTTGTTCTGGTTTTACCAAAGAATGAATCCCAAATAAGAAAACACTGGCGAAGGTCAGTATCTTTGTAAAAGCAGTGTAAGTGGGTTTCAGGAAAAAAAAAATTCTTCTTAAGAGCTTTTGGTGAATGAAGCCCTATGTTTTTAATTTTGTCAGTGCCTTTTATGATTTTAAATTAATACTCATAGTTTCTTCTACTGTTTAGCTATATCACCTGCCTGTAAAGCACTTTGAGCTGCCACTGGTATGAAAAGTGCTCTATAAATATAATCTAATATATAATCATGTAAAAATATAATAAATATGTTATAATATACCAAAATATTATTATTATTATTATTATTATTATTGTTGTTGTTGTTATTACAAAGGTTTTTGAGCAATTACATTCTTCTACAAACAAACAAACAAACAAAAAAAAACTCTAGCTGACCAAATATGCATGGCTAGAATGTATCATGTGTTATCTCCTCACTGTCACTGAATAAGCTAACAATCCCTCCAAGTTTCTGTTCTAATGAACATTAATAGGAAAGAACCACTGAACAATTTGACTCACCTGTGACTGTGTGATTGCTGTTTCTGTGGTCACTTATGGAGTGGCCATTTATTGAACTGAATTACTTTGTGTGGTCAAAGCTTGTACAGCACTCTAATTCAAAGCTTTAGCTCACCAGTGATTTGTTTTCATCTGGTCCCTGGAGGGTAAGAGCAAAAACAACTTCCACCACCTGCTGGTTAAAAACGGTATGAATACTAAAGGGAGAAAAAAATATCTGGGTGGTTTTTGATGGTTGAAATTGAACAACGGATGCTGGAAATATTGTTTCAACTGTTTTAGTGGGTTATATAAAATAATAGGGGTTCCTTGGTTTTGGCATTGATTAAAGCTGAAGAAAAAAAAAGAAATGTAAGTATGTAAAATGTAAAAATAAAGTGTTTGTGATGAATCAACAGAAACCAGATGCTCGCAGATAAAAAGGGCAATAGTGGTTTTATTATCGCTAGGCAAAAGCATGGTCAAATCTAGAAAACACAGTAAGATCACAATGGTGATCATAACACCAGGCCAACAAAAACTAAGGGAGAAGGCAGAGATGAAGTCGAAAAAACAGGCCAAATGGTTCAAAAACACAGATCAAAAACGATGGGCAAAAGTACAAAAAGGGTCAAGCAAAAGGCAAAGTCAGGGAAACAAAGCAAGGGTCAAAAAACAGGGTAAATCAGAAAGAATAATGCTCAGTACGTTCACAGAGAAACAATACCCCACACTGTTTCTAACTAAAGCCTGGGCTTAAATACTAAACTGTTCTAGTCATATGACAACATACACAGGTGAACAGGTTTAGTACTCGGGAGATTGTGAGCGCCGATAGGTGCACGAGCGAGTGTCAGAAGTCATGTGATTCCCCAAGGTATTGTGGGCATTGGAGTCCGTCATGGACTCCGAGTCAGAAGGAAGTTGCTCTGTCATGTGATTGCCCAGTGGAGTATGGGAAATGAAGTCCGTCTCATTCTGGGAGTCTTCCAGAAGCATGACAGTGTTCAGACATAAACATCCTACATGTTTAATTAATTTTAATTTTACATATTTTGTCCCATAAAATCTTGAAATACCGTAAAATCACCCCTGGATCCTCTTTTAAGTTCAACACATTTTGAGGTATTTAAATATTTTCATCATGCGGACTGATTTCTGGGTGCCAAGAAATAATTAGCTTTTGTTTGCTTTGAATAAGATCAAAAACATGGATATTTCTTCAAAGCCATTCTTGCTTATATATTCCAAGAGAGTCAGTATTTAGAGGGGATGACATACATACACTGCTTACATTATCATCATCATCATCATTGTTAACTGCTTAGTCCAGATAGGGTCGCGGTAGCAGTTGGGAGAACGTCCAGGGGCATCCAGATCTGATGCCTGAACCACCTCAGCTGGCTCCTCTCAATGCGGAGGAGAAGTGGCTCTACTCCGAGCTCCTCCAGTAGAGTGTAGCCCGCCACCCTGCGAAGAAAGCTCATTCTTTAAGTCATTACCCACAGCTCATGACCATAGGTGAGGGTCGGGATGTAGACCGACTGGTAAACAGAGAGCTTCACCTTATGGCTCAGCTCCCTCTTCACCACTACAGTTCAGTACATTGACTGGATTACTGCTGCCACCTGTCCCAGTCTGCGGCCGATCTCACCATCCCTCTTCCCATCACTCGTGAACAAAACCCCGAGATACTTGAACTCCTTCACCTGGGGCAAGTCCTTTCAGCTTACCTGGAGTGGGCATGCCATCCTTTTCTGGGCTAAGACCATGGACTCAGACTTGGAGTTGCTGATTCGCATACCAACCGCTTCACACTCAGCTGCAAACTGTTCCAGTGAGCGCTGGAGGCATCCATGTGATCCAAAAGAACAACATCGTCTGCAAATAGCAGAGATGCCACCCTCCGGCCCCCCACACATAATGCCCTCCTGACCACGGCTATGCCTTGACACCCTGTCCATGAATATCATGAACAGGAGTGGAAACAGGGCACAACCCTGGCGGAGTCCAATGCTAACACTGAAAGAGTCTGACTTAATGCTAAGTATATGAACACAGCTGTCACTCCGGGAGTACAGAGATTGAATAGCCTGGAGAAGCAGCCCTGGCACCCCATACTCCCGGAGGACCTCCCACAAGATATCTCGGGGAACACGGTCGTAAGCCTTCTCCAACTCCACAAAACACATGTAGACTGGGTTGGCAAACTCCCATGCCCCCTCAACAATCTATGAGAGGGTGAAAAGCTGGTCCATTGTTCCACGGCCAGGACGGAATCCGCATTGTTCCTCCTCAATCTGAGGTTCAACTATCCGTCGAAGTCTGCTTTCCAGCAACTTGGCATAGACTTTCCCAGAGAGGCTGAGCAGTGTGATACCCCGGTAGTTGGTACACACCCTCCGGTCCACTTTCTTAAAAATAGGGACCACCACCCCAGTCTGTCAGTCCAAGGGTACTGTTCCCAAAGTCCATGCAATATTGCAGAGGCGTGTCAGCAACGGCAGCCCCGCAATATCCAGAGCCTTAAGCATCTCCGGACGTATCTCATCCACCCCCGGGGCCTTGCCACTGAAGAGCTTGCCAACTACGTCAGTGACCTCCACCAGAGAAATGGAGCTTGACACGCCAGAAGGCTACTTCCGCACTACTTACATACTTCCTTTTATATTTGACTGTTACTGGTATTATTAACTTTGTTTTCTTTATTTTGAAGTCCCATATTTTCACTCTGTGCTTTAACTTTAGTTATAAGGGTCTTCAGGTGTTCCTGTTATGAGTGCCATGTCATCTATATATCAAAGGTTACTGATGTTTCATGAATCATATTTCACCAGTCCTGCCACTCTCATTATATGTTGAATAAGCATGGGGATAGTAAACAACCTTATCTGACCCCTTGTCCGTCCAGTGTCTGTCATGACTTAATTTTGAGCTGAAGTCCCATATTTTCACTCTGTGCTTTAACTTTAGTTATAAGGGCCTTCAGGTATATCAGGCATATGAAATGTCATTGATATTTCTTGAATCTTCAATCATATTCCACCAGTCCTGCTTCTCTGATTATATGTTGAATAAGTTTGGGGATAGTGGACAGCCTAGTCTGACACCTTTGCCTACATCAGAACAGTGTGTTTGTCCATTTTCTGTCATGACAGTGGCTTGTTAAAGGAAGAGAGATTATAGGATCGTTTCCACATTCTTTCTGGTCTCCTTTCTTTGGTACTGGGATAAAAAGTGACCTTTTGCAATTGGCTGGACATTCCTTGGTTTTCCAGATTCATTGACCTGATTTGGTCATCACTAACTGAATCTTCTTCAGAATCTTGAAATATATCCATGGCCATGTTATTGATTCCTGTGGCTTTGCTTTTGGGTGATGATCTCCAGGCCTCTCGGATTTCATCTTCTAGCACTGAAGGTTCTTCTGTGTAGCTGATATCAAAAAAGTGTCTTGGTGATTTACTTGCCTTTTTTTTTGTTTTGCCTCATGACTTCTGAAAAACAATGATTGTGCTTTCATATTTGTTTGCATTTACAATAACATGTTTCAGTTGTTACTGTAGTATTGGTTTTTATCCTGCTTGGGAGCTGTTTTGCCTGATTCTTTGTCCTTCTTGATTTCTTCAATTATTTTGCAATTTCCACTGTATCAATCATCCATCATTCACATTTGTTTCTTCTTTATTTTCATTCTTCCTAAGTTCCACAGTTTTTCTAATTCATCTTTGAGAACCTCTTATTTGAACTACAGAACCAGGACTGGCAAAGTACGCGACCAGAGCTGTGAGGTACTGCTGTGTAATATAGTAGCATTTTAATATATAATTCTAGAGCTTTGGCTCCACCTAGTGGACAACATGAGTACTGATATCATACCTATTCATGATGGGAGAGTTGTGGTGGTGGTGCAGATATAATGCATGGATGTGCCCCCCCCCCTGCCAAATCAAGGCTACAGTTTGCCTTGACAGTCCACATCTTTGTAAGACACCCATATCTAAAGGAGTTAATGAGGAAATTAATCTGCTGTAAAAAACAAGAGGCCAGAAGTAGACAGGTGTGGTTTTCCTGTTCGGTGACCTCCTCTCTGACTCTGTGTTTAAAGTAAGCGTCTCGATGCTCTCTCTTCATCTGGTGATGGTGAAATGGCTCTGTTCATCCTCATCTCGTTCCATCTGATTCTGCAGGTTCAGCTACAAAGTGAGTTTCATTTTAGCACTAAGAGGTTTTGATTCACTGTGTTTCTGTTTGCTGGGGAACAAATAACTTCAAACTGAGAGATTTAGTGTAGTGAACACTGTAACCAGTATCACTGGAACGGATGAATTATGTATGTTTTATGATGTGATGGTATTGAGAGAACCTCTACGTATAATGTATATAGTAAATTTTTTTTGTTATAATTTTTGATATATCATAACAATACAATAGGAAGTGGTGATTTTAGACTGTATTCAGAAATCATTTTCTATTGTTAGAATCAGTATATGTTGTTTGATAGTCTATTTTAGGGTTTTTATATCATTTTTATTCTGCTTGTAGATGATTTTATAGCTCTCTGTTTTAGTTGTTACTTTTGTTTCCTCTCTTAATAATTTTGTTTCATCAACTTCATTGGGATTTACTTCAAAGCCTGTTTATTGTCTTATTGTTTTAGTATCTTATTGTTTATTTGGTTTTATAGTTTATACATTTACTTCTAAGCTTTACTATATAGTAAGATATATTTTTTTATTTCTCAACCCTCCTGTGGCGCTCGGCTACATTGAAACCCGTGCTTCAATAAAGAATGAGTGAATGTTGGGGGGTCTGTGTGTTGCAGATGTTCCTCAGCCTGAGCTCTCAGTGTCTCCTGCCGTTGTCACACACAGAGGGTCAGTACAGCTGGACTGTAAGACTCTGTATGCTGGAGTGTCTCAGTGTTATTTCTATCCAGAGAGAGACGAGACAAATCTAAAACTCTCACCATCCTGTCAGCTCTCACTCACTGGCTCTGAACTGACCAGGTGGACAGGACGCAGTTACAGGTCACCTCAGTCAGTCAACATTACCTGCTACTACACTGTGGATGAATTCAGAACTCAAGCTGAATCTCCTCACTCTCTACCAGCTCCAGTCACAGTCCTGGTCCTGGGTAAGTTACTGATCAATCTCTACTAGATTCATCTCTTATTTACAGTCATGGATGAGTCAGGTTTTTCTCTGGGTTCTAAGAGGCTTTTTCCATTGTTAAAGTTTTCACAAGAAAAACAAACGTTTTCAAAACAAAAACTAGAGCAGTGCATTTCCTGAACAAAATGCAGAGTGATTGCACAGCTTAAGCAATTTCAGAATGGTTGCTAAGGTGTTGCCAGGTGGTTGCAATAGTATTTTATATGGTTGCTAGGGTGTTCATAGGCGGTAGCTGTGGAATTCTTGGTGGTTGCTGAGATGTTGCTAGGTGGTTGCTATAGTACCCCAGGTGGTTGCTAGGGTGCCGCTAGGAGGTTGCTATGGTATCCAAGGTGGTTGCTAAGGTGTTGCTAGGTGGCTGCTAGGGTGTGGCAGGTGGTTGCTTAGGTGTTGTTAGCCAGTTGCTATGATATCCCAGGCGGATGCTAAGGTGTTGCAAGATGGTTGCTATGGTATCCTAAGTGGTTGCTATGGCGTTGCGAGGTGGTTGCTATGGTATCCCAGGTGGTTGCCAAGGTATGCTAGATGATTGCTAAGGTGGTTGGTATGGTATCACAAGTGGTTGGTAGGCGGTTGCTATGGTATCCCAGGTGGTTGCCAAGGTATGCTAGATGATTGCTAAGGTGTTGCTAGGCGATTCCTATGGTACCCATGGTGGTTGCTAGGGTGTTGTGAGGCAGTTGCTATGGTATTCCAGGTGGTTGCTATGATATCCCAGGTGGTTGCTAAGGCATTGCTAGACAGTTGCTATGGTAACCTAGGTGGTTGCTAAGGTGTTGCTAGGCAGTTGCTATGGTATACCATGCAGTTGCTATATTGTTGCCATGGTGTATGGGGTGTTTATTTAGTTGTTTGTATGGAGCTGCCAAGTGTTAGCCCCGTGTTGTTGAAATGAATGGGAGTCTATGAGAGGAACAAAGGATGAAAAAACAACATATAGAGGAGTGCAAGTTTGATGTCCTACCCTTAGTGAGTACATGCAGTTTGGTGGCTGTAGGACAACAAAGTAATAGAGTTTGTGTGGCAGCAAAAATGAATGGGACTCTATAGGAGAAACGAGGGATGAGGAAAAAACAGATGAGTGTAGGTCAGAGCAATATTGAATTTGTGCTCGGGGGCCTGCCCTGAGGTAGTATATGCAAAACGGAGTATTTTGGTCAGGCAGAAGTACAGTAGATGGACATACAATGTTCTACCCCATTCATTCTCATGGGAAAAAAATCGGAATTTAACAAAGATTGGACGAAAACTGTATGTCAGATCAAAAAGCTGTATGCAAGCACACCATTCCCGTTCAGACAGAATATTTTGGAGTTGGAACGGTGTCGATATCTCGAAAGCTGGGGGATGAGTTAGCGGACAAAAATCCGGCAGAAAAATAAAAAAAAAGAAGAAGTATATACATGGGATAACAACAGTGCAATACACAATCACTAATCAAAATAACTGTAGTTATTCAGTACCTGCGGGTGATATCAGTATTAAAGAGAAAAAATAATGGAAAAACATTTGTGTTTCCCTTCTTTTCTCGAAAAAAAAAAGGTTTTTTATTTGTTGTTTATTGTTTCTAAATGTAATATTTAGTAACGTTTCATGTTATGATTGTTTTGTTAGTTACAAAAATTTTCAATCATTTGTTTTAATTAAACAATCATAATTAAAGTAGAGGGTCACTCACAGCAAAAGGATTTTAGTCTAAAGTTCAAGTCAGTCAAACGTACAAAATGTGTTTTCAACTCTGACTTTGAACCAATTCAGTAGAATCATCCACATCAGTCTTAAAGGAACAGTAACAGTAAGTTGTGTGTTCTGGAGAATAAAGAGAGGTTGGGAAACAGTCATGTAAAAATGAGTTTTAGTACATAAAACCACAGTAATGCCAGGTGATTTCTGTCACATAAATAACGGGGAAAAAAAACCCATGAGAATGTAGAATATGAACCCTTTAGTCTTATATCCAGTGATCTGTCCAGTAGGTTGTCTGATGGTGGATCTGTCTGTATGTTGCAGATGCTCCTCAGCTCTCAGTGTCCACTTCAGGGAGAGGCTCTGTACAGCTGAACTGCACACCTCCGTATGTTGGAGTCTCTCAGTGTTATTTCTATCCAGAAGGACATGAGAGATATTTAAAGTTTCCATGCTGTCAGCTCTCACTCACTAGAGCTGAACTGACCACATGGGCTGGACACAATTACAGTTCACTCGAACCCGTCAACGTTATTTGCTACTACTCTGTGAAAATATCAGATAGACAGCGTCTGTCTCCTCAGTCTCTCCCAGCTCCAGTGAGAATACTGGGTAGGTCACTGTTTATATGACTGTAATGTCACTGCTGGGAATCATAAATACAGTCATATGAATGAGCTTCCCTGTTTCACTGACCTCTCTGCAGATAAGAAACCAACAGTGACAGTCAGTCATGATGATCAACGTCATGAGTTCACTCTTGTGTGTGAAATATCACTGTCACTCAGCGCTGATGTTGGGTGTGATTTCTACATTGGAGATGAGAAGTTAAAGTGGACGATGTCTCAGAGGACGAGATCTGGATCACTGGCTTGTAGTTCTACAGCTCATAAGGATTTTCTGTTCAGTCGTATGAAATCAGCGAAGAGCAGAGAAGTGAGCTGTGATTATTCACTGAACTCTGACCAAACCGTCCACTCTCCACTCAGTGACTCATACAGCCTCACACGTGAGTTCATTCTATAGAATCTGTTGACTTGCACATTTTTATTTATGCATTCTAAGTAACATTTATTCTAATTCACATTTATGTCTTTTATTCAAAGCTTATCAGTGCAGTTCATTTTGTATGAGTGTGTTTGTTTCTTTTTTTGCCAGAACTGCCTCCTTTACAACACAGTCAAAGAACAACACAGTCAAAAAAGCAGAAATCTACCACAAGTCAGTCAAATTCTTATCTTACACAGACTGGATCATGTGACTTACATTGAAATTATCTTTTTTAAATAAATTGCATATTTTTTACTACAGATTTTATGAAATCCACATATGTTCTGACTGTTATACAGTCACATGCCCCGGTCAAATTCCATGTTGTATTGATTTTCCAAGTTAAAATAAGATAGCAGAGTACTACAGAGAACACATTTCTGCATGTTTGAATGCATAATTACTGATTTTTACTGAGTTTAACATCAAATATACACTGACATGCCAAAATCATATGATAGCAGTATGATAGCAGGGAATGCCCAAGTTGTGAGGTGCCATCTTGTGAGTGAGGTTGAACACTGGTCAGTGTGCTCATGGCAAGGTGACGTGAATTATCAAAGTTTGAAAGAGGCACGATAGGGGGTGCCAGACGGATGGGACACTCCATTTCAGAAGTTGTGCGGGCATTTAACATTCCTTGATCCACAGTATCACGTGTATAATGGGAATACATCATAGAAGGTATTTCCACCCACAGTGGACAGCGCAGTGGCCACCCACAGTTGCTTAATGATCATGACTGGCAGCGTCTGGCTAGAATTGTCCCTGTGAACAGACAAGCTACTCCCACAGGTCAGTGCTGTGTTCTTTAGCTTCCATGGGATATGCAAGCAGAAGACCCACCTGAGTGGCTCTGTTAACATAATTACACTGGACACAGTGCCTCACCTGGGCTTGTGAGGTTGCTTATTGGACCCTAGAGGACTGGCAACATTAGGCATAGTCTGAAGAGTCATGGTACCAATTCTTTCGGGCTGATGGTCGGGTTCGTGTGTGGTGCAGACCCCATGTCAACAAGGCACTCTGCAAGCAAGTTGTGGTTCTCATGGCAGGGGTTGGGTCCACTGGCCTGCCTAAACAACTCATTGACCAGTGACCAGTACATTTTTACTGACTATTTGCAGCCCTTCATGTACTTCATGTTCCCCCACAGTGATGGGATATTCCAGCTGTGTGATGCACCGTGCTGTCGGGCCCAAGTTGTCCAGAATTGGCTAAAGGTGCATTCTGGAGAGTTCCAATGAATGGTGTGGCCAGCATGTTCACCCAACATGAAACCCAATCGAGCATTTATGGGATGCGGTGGAGAGGTCCATTCACACCCAAGATCCTGCACCTACAAGCACTACAGTGCTGTGGGTAGTTCTCCAGACAGCATGGCTCAACATCCCTCTAGACGTGTTCTGTCCACTTGTGGAATTGATGCCACGTCAAGTTGCTGCACTTCGCTGGGCTAGAAGGGGTCCTACAAAATATTAGTGCCTGTCCCATGACTTTTGGCCGTCAGTGTGATGTGACATAACATTTTATGTTTTATTTTTTCCATTACGTTAAATTCAATACGGTTTCTGTAGAGGGTGTGTTTACTTATTGTCACTCAGAAAATCAATACAACATGGAATTTAACTGGGGGTGCTCAAGCCTTTCTATGCAAAAGGTATATGTATAAAAGATTAATTACTACTTATTGTGTCATGGAACAAGACAGGAAAAAAAGTTGAAAGGTCAAAACAACCTATATGTATGATCATAGAATGAATATTTGTAGCATCATGTAATAAAATGTTAATAACATCTGTAATTTATACATGTAAGTACATGAATGTACAATGTACAGCTTATTCAGTTAATGTCACAAGACAGAAGTGCTATATACCGTGTGTGCTACATTGGAATGTATTCACTTCACACCCTCTAACTGTTGTGTTTTTTAATCTCAGCTGCTCCATATGACGTTATTACACTCCACGGTCAAACCACCAATGCCTGTGAGTTTTCAAGTCAATATTCAGGTCTTGTCAGCTCCAGATAATAGCTTAATAGAGATGTTAGCCTTAATTAACTTTGAATGTGTTTTCCCCCATAGCTCTCACAACCTATTCTAACTATGATGAGCACATCCAAAAGGTGCCTGAAGGTGAGTGGTTTCTAGATTTTGCTTTACATTTCAATGTGTCTTGTACATTTTGACTCTACCATGTAGTTTCATACACACCACAGTCTCTGTTCATTGTGTGGATGTAAATGTAGTTAGTGCGACTGAACAAATATGCAATTAACATCTATAAAATTGATCTGAGATTTGTAAAGTAATACTGATGTAAACTATGGAAGACTTTTGTTTCTGTGGTCCAACAATACACATTTTTTTTTTATTTTCATTATTCAGGAACAGACCTTGTCACAATGCTATCAGCTTCTGTTGTTGGTGTCTTATTGGCTGGAGTGATGCTCGTCTGTCTTTGCAGATTCATCAGTAAGTCCATTATTTGAAATATACTGATACCAAAAGAGATCAGGAACAAATCAGCTCAGTTTCACAACTATGAATTTACTGTGCTGGATTATTTGTGTAGTATTTTGGAGGAGATTAACTATCTGAATCAGCTGACACCTTGTTCTAGCTCTGTGCGCAAGTGGCAACAACTATACTAGAAATCTGCCCTTAAGCTGTCTAAAACACAGACAATATAAGAAGGGAGCATCAGAGACAAGAGTAGGAGAGTTGGGGCTGGGATGGGGCAAGGTTTGTACACATCCCTATAACAGTCTCTGTTCACCTCCCTGTAACAGTTTCTGTTCACATTTCTGTAACAGTCTCTGTTCACGTCCCTGTAACAGTCTCTGTTCAGGTCCCTGTAACAGTCTCTGTTCACATCTCTGTAACAGTCTCTGTTCACGTCCCTGTAAAAGTCTCTGTTCAGGTCCCTGTAACAGTTTCTGTTCACATCTCTGTAACAGTCTCTGTTTGTGTCCCTGTAACAGTTTCAGTTCAGGTCCTTGTAACAGTCTCTGTTCACCTCCCTGTAACAGTCCCTGTTCTTGTCCCTGTAACAGTCTCTGTTCACATCCCTGTAAGAGTCTCTGTTCACATCCCTGTAACAGTCTCTGTTCACATCCCTGTAACAGTCTCTGTTCATATTTCTGTAAGAGTCTCTGTTCTCATCCCTGTAACAGTCCCTGTTCATGTCCCAGTAACAGTCCCTGTTCATGTCCCTGTAACAGTCTCTGTTCACATCCCTGCTCACATCCCTGTAACAGTCCCTGGTCATGTCCCTGTAACAGTCCCTGTTCATGTCCCTGTAACAGTCTCAGTTCACATCCCTGTAACAGTCTCTGTTCACATCCCTGTAACAGTCCCTGTTCATGTCCCTGTAACAGTCTCAGTTCACGTCCCTGTAACAGTCTATGTTGGTGTCCCTGTAACAGTCTCTGTTCACATCCCTGTAACAGTCCCTGTTCACGTCCCTGTAACAGTCTCTGTTCACATCCCTGTAACAGTCCCTGTTCATGTCCCTGTAACAGTCTATGTTGGTGTCCCTGTAACAGTGTCTGTACACATCCCTGTAACAGTCTCTGTTCACATTTCTGTAACAGTCTCTGTTCACATCTCTGTAACAGTCTCTGTTCACATCTCTGTAACAGTCTCTGTTTGTGTCCCTGTAACAGTCTCTGTTCACATCCCTGTAAAAATCTCAGTTCACATCTCTGTAACAGTCTCTGTTCACGTCCCTGTAACAGTCTCAGTTTGTGTCCCTGTAACAGTCTCTGTTCACATTTCTGTAACAGTCTCAGTTCACATCTCTGCAACAGTCTCTGTTCACGTCCCTGTAACAGTCTATGTTGGTGTCCCTGTAACAGTCTCTGTTCATGTCCCTGTAACAGTCTATGTTGGTGTCCCTGTAACAGTCTCTGTTCACGTCCCTGTAACAGTCTCTGTTGGTGTCCCTGTAACAGTCTCTGTTCACATTTCTGTAACGGTCTCTGTTCACATTTCTGTAACAGTCTCTGTTCACATCTCTGTAACAGTCTCTGTTCACGTCCCTGTAACAGTCTCAGTTTGTGTCCCTGTAACAGTCTCTGTTCACATCTCTGTAACAGTCTCAGTTCAGGTCCCTGTAACAGTCTCAGTTTGTGTCCCTGTAACAGTCTCTGTTCACATTTCTGTAACAGTCTCTGTTCACGTACCTGTAACAGTCTCTGTTCACATCTCTGTAACAGTCTCTGTTCACGTACCTGTAACAGTCTTAGTTTGTGTCCCTGTAACAGTCTCTGTTCACATCTCTGTTACAGTCTCTGTTCACATCCCTGTAACAGTCTCTGTTCACATCCCTGTAACAGTCTCTGTTCACATCTCTGTAACAGTCTCTGTTCACGTACCTGTAACAGTCTTAGTTTGTGTCCCTGTAACAGTCTCTGTTCACATCTCTGTTACAGTCTCTGTTCACGTCCCTGTAACAGTCTATGTTGGTGTCCCTGTAACAGTCTCTGTTCACGTCCCTGTAACAGTCTCTGTTCACATCTCTGTAACAGTCTCTGTTCACATCCCTGTGACAGTCCCTGTTCTCATCCCTGTAACAGTCTCTGTTCACATCCCTGCTCACATCCCTGTAACAGTCCCTGTTCATGTCCCTGTTCACGTCCCTGTAACAGTCCCTGTTCACATCCCTGTAACAGTCCCTGTTCACATCCCTGCTCACATCCCTGTAACAGTCCCTGTTCATGTCCCTGTTCACATCCCTGTAACAGTCCCTGTTCACGTCCCTGTAACAGTCTCTGTTCACATCCCTATAACAGTCCCTGTAACAGTCCTTGTTCATGTCCCTGTAACAGTTTCTGTTCACATCCCTGTAACAGTCCCTGTTCACATCCCTGTAACAGTCTCTGTTCACATCCCTGTAACAGTTTCTGTTCACATCCCTGTAACAGTCCCTGTTCACATCCCTGTAACAGTCTCTGTTCACATCCCTGTAACAGTCCCTGTTCTTGTCCCTGTAACAGTCTCTGTTCTTGTACCTGTAACAGTCTCTGTTCACATCCCTGTAACAGTCCCTGTTCACGTCCCTGTAAGAGTCTCTGTTCACGTCCCTGTAACAGACCCTGTTCTTGTCCCTGTAACAGTCCCTGTTCTTGTCCCTGTAACAGTCTCTGTTCATGTACCTCTAACAGTCTCTGTTCACATCCCTGTAACAGTCTCTGTTCACATTTCTGTAAGAGTCTCTGTTCAGATCTCTATAACAGTCTCTGTTCACATGTCTGTAACAGTCTCTGTTCACATCTCTGTAACAGTCTCTGTTTGTGTCCCTGTAACAGTCTCAGTTCAGGTCCCTGTAACAGTCTCTGTTCTCATCCCTGTAACAGTCCCTGTTCATGTCCCAGTAACAGTCCCTGTTCATGTCCCTGTAACAGTCTCTGTTCACATCCCTGCTCACATCCCTGTAACAGTCCCTGTTCATGTCCCTGTAACAGTCCCTGTTCATGTCCATGTAACAGTCTCTGTTCACATCCCTGTAACAGTCCCTGTTCATGTCCCTGTAACAGTCTCTGTTCACATCCCTGTAACAGTTCTTGTAACAGTCCTTGTTCATGTCCCTGTAACAGTCTCTGTTCACATCCCTGTAACAGTCCCTGTTCACGTCCCTGTAACAGTCTCTGTTCACATCCCTGTAACAGTTTCTGTTCACATCCCTGTAACAGTCTCTGTTCACATCCCTGTAACAGTCCCTGTTCTTGTCCCTGTAACAGTCTCTGTTCTTGTACCTGTAACAGTCTCTGTTCACATCCCTGTAACAGTCCCTGTTCACGTCCCTGTAACAGTCTCTGTTCACATCCCTGTAACAGTCCCTGTTCTTGTCCCTGTAACAGTCTCTGTTCTTGTACCTGTAACAGTCTCTGTTCATGTACCTCTAACAGTGTCTGTTCACATCCCTGTAACAGTCTCAGTTCACATCCCTGTAACAGTCCCTGTTCACGTCCCTGTAACAGTCTCTGTTCACATCCCTGTAACAGTCCCTGTTCTTGTCCCTGTAACAGTCTCTGTTCTTGTACCTGTAACAGTCTCAGTTCACATCCCTGTAACAGTCCCTGTTCACGTCCCTGTAAGAGTCTCTGTTCACATCCCTGTAACAGTCCCTGTTCTTGTCCCTGTAACAGTCTCTGTTCACTTCCCTGTAACAGTCTCTGTTCACATCCCTGTAACAGTCTCTGTTCACTTCCCTGTAACAGTCTCTGTTCATGTGTCTGTAACAGTCTCTGTTCATGTGTCTGTAACAGTCTCTGTTCAAGTGTCTGTAACAGTCTCTTTTCACTGCATAGTTTCATCAATTCCCTGTTTCGGTGCAGCTGAACCAGCATATAAACTAAATAGCAAGGCCTTCATGAACTACAGCAGATGTGAGTCTCTGTTCACTTCCCTATAACAGTCAGTTCAGGTCCCTGTAACAGTATCTGTTCATGTGCCTGTAACAGTATCAATTTCCTGCTTCGGTGCAGCTGAACCAGCATATAAACTAAATATCAAGGCCTTCATGAACTACAGCAGATATGGGGCATTAATAATTTGAATGTGTGAAGAACACGGGGTCCACAGAGCTAGAGTTAAGAATCACTGATCTATTTAAAGTCATTATTTTCCTTTCAGGAAAGAAGACAACTGGGAGCCTTTGCAGGGTTGCAGGTGAGCTCACATACACAGCAAAACATTTCTACACTCAGTTCCTTCATTTCAGTACACCAGCCAATGCAGAATAAGTAATTAACTTTCATTTTTGTGCAGAGTGTCTGACTGAAGATATGAGAAGTGATGCAACAGTTTACACAACAGTAATCTACAGTCTGTCCACCCAGGAGCAGCTCTCAGAATGAAGAGAAATCGTTCAGTGTCCCGTATGATGGATGGCATACAGGATATACCACTGGTCCTCCATCAAACAAGATTAAACATAAATTCATTACAAATCTAGAATTGTTTTTTTAATTGTATGTATAAAGTTGCTTTTGCATGTCCAAGACCTACAGTGTGATCCTACTTCTTGCTATAATGAATTTCTTAAAAGGAATAAAATTTACACTTTGTTAATATTAATCTAATATTTTTACAGATGCATAAATATGTTCATACTTAAACCGATAACATTAAAATGTTCTGAAAACCTGAGTATGCTGTCTTGTGTTAACTAGATGTGAGGTTTGTAGAGTGAAACTGTTTCTTCTGCTAAATTTGAGTAACGTTGTCAGAGGTATTTCAAAACCAGACTAGAATATTCACTGCATGCTTACATTCAGACATGCTGGTCTGATTTGTAGCACGGTGGTTTTCAGAGCAGTTGCAGTCTCTTAGGTTGTCTGATGGCTATATTTATTTTTAAACAGCACCGTCTTTGGTCACATTCTGCAAAATGACTGCATTGTAGTTGTGTACGAGTATGAAGGTGGACAACTCTGCTTCACTCGACAAAAGTATTAAAGATACCTAATTAGAGACAATTTTGATATACATTGTTTTGAGGTTTGTCCTGAATGTATCAAAGATATGAAAAAATATGTGTGCAAAGCACAGTTTTTGGGTTTGATTGAAACTAAAATGTATAAAAATTCAGAAATAAACATCCTACATGTCTCATTATTTTACATTTACACATTTACTTCCATAAAATATTAAAAACAGGCAAAACACGCTTGCATCCTCTTTTAACACATTTTCATCATAGAGGCTGATTTCTGGGTGCAAAAAATGATAGTGATTTTTTTGCTTTGAACAAGATCAACAATAGTGGGTAGCGCTGTCGCCTCACAGCTAGAAGGGCCTGGGTTTGATTTCCTGGCCGGGCAACCGGGGTCCTTTCTGCGTGGAGTCTGCATGTTCTCCCTGTGTCTGCGGGGGTTCAAAGACATGCAGGCAAACCAATTGGAGATACGAATGTCTATGTCTGTGTATCTGCCCTGTGATTGACTGGCGGTCTGTCCAGGGCGTTTCCTGCCTTTTGCCCAGTGAATGCTGTGATAGACTCCAGCTACCCAAGAAAATAAGTGGCTTAGATGATGATGAAGCCAGTTTTGACTCCAGGCAATTACACTGATAGATTTCTTCAGTCCTTTTACTGTTTTACAATTCTTAATAGTTTGTTCATGATCCCTTTGATTGGCTCTGTTCATCTTGTTGCTGACGATCTTCTTCATATTTTACCTTCAACTGTTGGTATTAACTTTTTCTTCATTTTGAAGTTCCAGTTATAAGGGCCTTTTGATCTTCCTGATTTCCTGCTATGGGTGTTGTGTCATCTGCACATCAAAGGTTACTGATGTTTCTGAATCTTCACTTATATTCCAAAAATCCTGCATCTTTGATTATATGTTGAACAAGTATGGGGGTGGTGGACAGCCTTGTCTAATACCTTTGCCTTCATCAAAACCGTCTGTTTGTCCATTTTCTGTCTGTGGCTTCTCAAAGGAAGGGAAATGGTATGAAAGTTTGCACATTCGTTATGGTCTCCTTTCTTTGGAACTGGGCTATAATGTGACCTTTTTCAACTGGCTGGCCATTGAGTGCTTAGATTTGTTGACATGATTTGGTCATCACTAACTAAATCTTCTTCAGATTCTCGAAATATTTCCATTGCCACGTTATGGATTCCTGTGGTTTTGCTTTTGGTCAGTGTTCTCAGGTCCTGTCTGACTTCATCTTCTAAAGTTAAAGGTTCATCTGTGTAGCTCAAACAAGTGTCTTGGCAGTTGACTTGCCTTTTTTGTTTTGCCCCATGTCTTCTGGAAAACAGCCTTTGTGTTTTCATGTTTGTTTGCATTTACAATAACAAATGTATTAAATGTATAAATGTAGTAACAAACTATAGTGTTGCTCTTTGTCCTTCTTGGTAGCTCTTTTGACTTCACAGTTTAGTTCTAAAAATCTTAAAAGATCTTTGTCCTTCTTGATTTCTTCACTTCTTTTTGCAATTCCCACTGTATGACTGTATCATTGACATTCTTCTTTAGTTTCATTCTTCCAAAAGGTTTTCACTGATTCGTCTTTGATAACTTCTTATTTGAACTTTATTGGGGAAAAAAAAGTTTTTCAAAGATGTTTTTTTACATTGTATTAAAATTTCTTGATAAATAGACCAACAGATATGATCCAAACCTCCATTCAAAAATATTTTTTATGGTAGTGATGCAAATTTCACCTCATTCACTCACATTTAGTAGCAAATTTTCCACAAGGGGGAATGAAATAGCTTTTGATACTGGCTAGTGATCCATGGACCAGTTGACCATAAGAAAGATCTTCATATTGGTTGTCAATGTGATCAGAAAGGCCTGAAACAAATTTGGTACAACACACATGAATATTTAATGAATGCTTACAATTAAATTTCTCATCTTAAAACCTAAGTACTTTGTTGAAATCTTTGTGAATACTGAGAACAAAGTCATTGGGTGGATCTAAATTTGATCTATTCAGGTTGATTGCTTTGGCCTGCTGTTATTGTTTCCTAAAACATGACAGCTCCATTCATGATGAAACTGAAGTCAGCTTCTTGTTTGAATTTCCCGTTCATTGTTAAATGATGCAGCAGTTACATTAGCCATGTTTACATGCAGCCTAATAATCCGTTAATAATCCAACTAATAACTCAATCAGAATAAAATACGTCCATGTAAACACCTCAATCGGAATAGACTAGTCTGATTGAAGCCATTCAGAATACAGTTTCTATCTGACTGATCGAGGTGGGTAATCCTGTAAATAATTAGTTAAATAGAAGAATAATATCCGTGTAAACGTCTGTATCTGATTACATTCCCAGTCGGAAAGTTTAAGTCCTTCTGCATGTGCCTCACGTCATAGAGAAAGTTTATACCATTCAACATGGCATTGTTTCCTGCAACTGGCTATTTTAAGGCCAAGTAAGGCCTATGTAGACTATAGACTGGCTACACAGACACAAAACTCAGTGTCCCAGATGCTTCTTTACTATAGTCATATGCAAAAGTTTGGGCACCCCATGTTTTGTTGTTATGTTAAACTGTATGGCTGTGATTAATCAGCCTTCACATATAATCAGCTCTATTTAGGGCGACTTGTGAAGCTGCTTTGAAAATGGATTGAAGTGAATCAAAAATGGGCAAATTGAAATGTTGGTGGAAGGAAGTTATTCATAATTCATAATATCAGTATAAATTGATTTTACTCCAAGAACTTGAAAAAGTTCTGATTGATATAGATTAAGTAGGTCACCTATCCAGATGTTCAGATATTACCTTAATAAGATGTCCACAGGCATCAAAGACAGACAACCAGCAGATGTTCAGTTATGAAACTAGTGTTGCAACAAATGGGCAGAAGAGGGTCAAATCCCAAAAGCATAGAAGACAGTGTCTCATGTTATTTGAGTGTTTGACTCACACTATAAGACATTATACATGTTACTGAATCAAATTTGAGCATATCACCATCATTCCAGTTCTAACTGCACCAGTAGCTCTGCACTGTCATGAATAAGTATATGTTCATGACAGTGGTGCTCATGTCCACCAGAGGACATCAAAGCTCTATTATACTATGTATAGAGTAATGAACACTTTTGTAGCTCTACCTTGCTGGTATACAGAGACTGTAGCTCATCTGATAGATAGTTTGTATTGGTCTTCCTCTTCCTCTACTCCTTAATCAGTGGTCAGTGGAACTCTGCCACCCAAAAATATCCAGACAAACTTTTGTTTATTTTTGGGTGGCGGAAATCCACTCTTAATGAACCAAGCAGTGACACTGACATATTTAAAAGCTCCAGTAACACCGCTGTGTCAGATACGCTCCTACCAGTACCACACACACACACATACACACACACACACACTACCACATAAGTGTCACTGCCGTGCTAAGAAAGGACCACCACTCAACTGAACACCAGCAGACCTGTGGTCAGAAACTGACAGTGAAAAATGGGGTAGAAGTAATAAAGTGGCCAGTGAGTGGAGGAACAAGGTAGGTGTTTCTAATAAAGTGGTCAGTAAGTGGAAGTATAAATGTTGACGTTTGCATTTTTTATTTCATTAGCATATAAAAAGAAATCATAAAAAAACATTTAATTTATTAGTCCAAAAAAAGATTATTTTAAATAATCTGTTAAAACAAAATTTTACCATAATATTTTTGCCTGTCACATCATTGAATGATCAAAATGTAAACAAACTATCTGCATTTTAGATTCAGGTTTACAGTTATGTTTAGGATTAGGTTTAGGTGTTGTGTTGAGGTTAAGGTTAGGGTTAGAATTCGAATTAGGGAAAAGATTAGATGAATCATCATCATTGATCATCAGAATATCTTTGATCAAAGCAAACATGGACATAATCTTATTTAACAGAACTTCAGTTAAATAATCTTTCTCAGGGTTAGGTTTTGGATTGAGTTTAGGCTGAGGGATTAAGGAAAGTTTAGAGAGTTTACTTAAAATAGTTTGTTCTTGTATTGGCTACTTTAATTACACATAGTTTGGGCGTTTCTCACCTCTCAGTGCTCTGCTTTCCTGAAAAGGAAGATATATTTAAAAAAACAACAAGTCAATTAAAAGTATATTTTACATTCAGAATGTATTCAGAATATTGAATCACAGTCAGTTCTCTAAACAACGCTGAGCTGGTTTGTTCTTGTTCTTGTCTGTATGAGTGAATCAGCTGATGGACTCACTGATAAATCTGCACAGACAGACGATCATCACTCCAGCCAGTAAGACGCTGACAGAGGTGGTCGAAAGCAGTATGATGAGAAAAGTTCCTGAATAATAACAACAAGAATAATTTGGAATTTCTGTGCTAAGACATCACATTTTGTCACATATCACACATATTTTCTATGAGGAAACATTCTCAGTCCAATCCTCTGCAGTAAACTGTTTTTCATGGTGGACTTTGAGGGATGTTCTGGACGATGGTCTTATTGTAAAAGTTGGCCTTTTTTCAACTTCAGTTTCTTGACAGTCTGTGTCACATTTGCTTCCAGAATTAGCCGATATAGAGGAATCTATTCTTCCATCTATCTGTGCATCGGTTTTCATGCCATCAGCTGCCACACAACCCAAAGCATGACAGATCCACCCCCATGCTTAACAGTTGCCTTGCCTTTGGTGGCCAAAGAGTTCCATTTTTAATTCATCAGTTTACAGCACTTGTTTCTACAATGCCTTTGGCTGATCTAGAAGTTGTTTGCATACTTGAGATGTTGACTTTTGTGATGAGGTCACAGGTAAGATATCATTCTGATGACTCTTCCATGCAGATCATGTTTATCCAAGCAGTGTTGCACAGTAGAACACTGCACCATCACTCCTGTGTCAGCAGAACTTTTCTGTAGGTCCCTTGCTGTCATACAGGGGTTTTGCTTTGCCTTTCTGGCCAGCATACGAGCAGTTCTGTCTGAGAAATTTCTGAGTGTTCCAGATCTCTCCTTGACTTCCACAGTTCCCCTTAACTGCCATTTCGTAATGATATTTTGGACAGTGGAAATTGCCAGAAGAATTTATATCTTTTTATAATGTTCTCCTGCTATGTAGGCATCAATTAGCTTCATTTTCAGATCTTCAGCCAGCTGCTTAGAGAAGTGTCAGCACAAGGTTTAAAAAACAAGAAAATTTATTACGCTCTGAAATTGTCATCAGATGATGATTCTTGACCAGTCTAACCAGTCCTAGTGAGTCAATTAAGGCAACAAAAATTCTGAGACTTTACAGCTGCGAGGGTGTCCAAACTTTTGCACATGCATTACCATTTTTCCCCTATTTTTTAGGTCAATTAAATATAAAGTAACTACACATTAACATTAGCAGAAAAAAATATTTTGAAAAATGTTTTGCTACAGAGCTTTAAGAATGACTAAGCAAATTCTAGAAATCAATGATAAATGTAATGATTGGTTGTTCAGCAGGTAGATGTCACTCACTCACTTCTGGACACTTTTTGGATGTGATCATGATGTTTGGAGTGGGTTGTTAGAGCTACAAAGGAAAAACATTCTGTCATTAAAAACACAAAACATCTATAAAGCTATATTATCTGGAGCTGATATGCAGTCATTTCTACCAATTATGTATGAACATTTGTTTATCGTGTAAACAAAATGTTCACTTCAGCATCACAGGACAGTGCAGAGACTCACAGGCTGTTGTGGCTTCACTGTGGTGTGTGGGAACAGTGTATGTAGCTGCTGAGAATAGAGACAGAGAACACGTAGCGGTTAGAGAGCATGAAGAACAAAGTCATTTTAAAACAGCAACGTCTAAAATAACTCGCAGGCTTGTGCGTTTTAGTATAAACTGCAAAACTGGGACCAACAAATAAAGCTGCTACACAAATGTACAGCTTGGTTCAGAATTTATAATCGTTCATTTTTATACTGCTACAGGTTGTTAAGCATGTATAAGATTAAATTTAATTTTATATAATAAATTATATGAAATGAAATAATTAGCTTAAAATAGCGGAACATTTCTATAAAACAATCCACTGTGTGTAAAATAAAGACAGACTAACCTGTGGTGGATTTTGGTTTTATCAGCTGTGTTGTAGTTTCTGGAGTTGGTAAAGGAGGCAGTTCTGGCAACAAAAAAATAAATAAATAAAAACACATATAAAATGAACTGCATGGATGAGCTTTGAATAACAGACTTAATACATAAAAAGAAATGTACTAGTTAACAATGTAGTTCAGTGAGGCACCAATAAGAAACACTTAATTACATGGCTTCTTCTTTGCATGATACAGCTTTAACTTGCATTTGTGGATTGCACTGCAGACTGTGTTCACAGACAATGATTTCTGGAAGTGTTCCTGAGCCCATGCAGTGATTTCCAGTACAGAATCATGCCTGTTTTCAACGCAGTGCGGACTGAGGGCCCGAAGATCACCAGCATCCAATATTGACCGTCGACCTCGTCCTTTGTGTACAGGGATTTCTCCAGATTCTCTGAATCTTTTGTTGATATTATGTACTGTAGATGGTGGGATATCCAAAGTCTTCACTATTTTACGTTGGGGAACATTTTTCTGAAATTGTTCCACAATTTTTAGACGTGGTTTTTTGCAGATTGGTGAACCTCTGCCCATCTTTGCTTCTGAGACTCTCCGCCTCTCTAAAATGCTCTTTTTAAACCCAGTCATATGAGTTAGTTGCAAATTGGTAAAATGTCTCACTTTCAACATCTGATATGTGTTCTATGTTCTATTGTGAACAAAATGTGGGTCTATGAGATTTGCAAATCATTGCATTCTGTTTTTATTTACAGTTATTTACATTTTACACAGCGTCACATTTTAGAATTGGGGTTGTAAAAAATGATATATTTATTTCTGCAATGTGGTGAAAGATGTTGTATTTTTTTCTGAAACAACTTATTAATTGCATTTGCTTTGTAAACAAACACTGGCAATACTTTTTGTATTGATTTTGAGAAGTGAAGGGTTTTAGCCAGAACTTCTTTCACTTTGCTGTCAACAGTACTGAAATAAAATAATCAACTATCAACAAATCAATTATTATCAATTATCAACAAAGTAGCCACTAGAGTTCAGTGAACTAGCGTTCTATTTACATTGATGTTGGACATTCCAAACACAATGTATGTCATGTTTTTAGGAGTAATTTCAAGGAAAGATGGAAAGTTGGAGGAACCTGGACCATTTAAACAGTAAGTCAGAGAGAGAATTTGAGTTCAGTGGTGCACATTCAGCTTTCAGTCAGCTCACAACCATGAACATACACATTTACAGAGGTTCACACAATAGCAACCACATTCACACACTTACTTACTGACACTTACCCTGTGACACTTGGTGAAGCTTCAGAAGGACTGTGATTTTTCTAATGCAGTCTAAAGCTCTGAGTTCTAGATGTATATAAATATTGCTTTGTCCTCCTTATTGTTATTGTTATTACCTTCTTACATTATAGAGACTTAGGCTGGAGAGTTCTAACGTCTCATGTAGTGCATCGTCCATACAATTTCTAGTGAGTGTCTCTCTGTCAAATTAGCTCAAATGAAAGAATTAATTTACTTACACATTACTTCACTGTTGTGACATTACTTTAATACCCACGTCAATTTAGACCATCACTGCTCTGACACACAAGTCTGTGTATTGCCAGAAAACCAAAACACAGTTGTGATAAATTAAGTAGGAAACATTCAAAGACACCTATTTTTAAACAGTACAAATTACGCATTACACTGGCCACACAATGGATTGTAAATATTTTGCCCTTGTCAATATTTTATGCTAATCTTTTCAGTTATTTGGGTGACTTGGTCTTGACCCTATATAACTGTCAGAGAGTATTATAATAAATGAATTCGATATGAATACTCGTCATGTAGCTTATGTTGTAGACCATAAACAGGCCTCTGTTTGAGGCCACTCACATAACACTGTCCTTCTAAAGAGCCATATGACATTCCAGCTCCAAATATGTTTTAAAATGTATGTGTGAACAATGTGTGAAGTGAGTTCAAGAGGAAATAGACAGATAGTCTGACTGTGTGTCCAAAGATTTGTAGACTCTCTTTAGTGGATTCAGCCCATTAAGATGCACTTATTGCTGACAAAGGTGTTCAATTACAATTATGCACACAAAGCTTCTATAATCTCCAGAGAAAAGCACTGGCACTAGAATTGGACACTCTATAGCAGCCACACATAAGGTCACCATGCACAATGCTAAGAGTGAGCTAGATGTAGAGCCCCCCAGCACTGAACTGTGGAGCAGTGGAACTGTGTTCTCTGGAGTGATGGAGCTCCATCCAATACCTTTGGGATAAGCGGGAGATGCATAACTGATCATCCAACTCAGTACCTGACCTCACTAATGCTCAATCAGATCCTCACAGCAATGTTCCAACATCTACTGTAAAGCCTTCCCAGAAGAGTAGAGACTGTTACTGCAGCAAAGGAGGACAAACTGACTATAAATAGCCCTCATTTTAGAAAAAACTGCAAGTGCAAGAAATGCAAGTGTCTACAAACTTTAGGACAGATCAGGGGTGCCCAGTCCTGGTCCTGGAGATCTACCACCCTGCAGAGTTTCGCTCCAATCATGGTCTGTGACACAAGATCCAGGTAGTGAAGACCTGCAGGGGCATCTGAATAGAGCCAGGTGTGTAGATAGATAGATAGATAGATAGATAGATAGATAGATAGATAGATAGATAGATAGACAGATGTATATAAATATTGCTTTGTCCTCCTTATTGTTATTGTTATTACCTTCTTACATTATAGAGACTTAGGCTGGAGAGTTCTAACGTCTCATGTAGTATGGGGATAGTGGACAGCCTAGTCTGACACCTTTGCCTACATCAGAACAGTGCGTTTGTCCATTTTCTGTCATGACAGTGGCTTGTTAAAGGAAGGGGAATTTAGGATAGTTTCCACATTCTTTCTGGTCTCCTTTCTTTGGTACTGGGATAAAAAGTGACCTTCTGCAATCGGCTGGACATTCAGTGGTTTTCCAGATTCACTGACATAATTTGGTCATCACTAACTGAATCTTCTTCAGAATCCTGAAATATTTCCATTACCATGTTATTGATTTCTGTGGCTTTGCTTTTGGTCAGTGATCTCAGTATCTGTGATTTCATCTTCTAGCACTGAAGGTTCTTCTGTGTAGCTGACATCAAAAAAGTGTCTTGGTGATTTACTCGCCATTGTTTTTTGTTTTGCCTCATGACTTCTGAAAAACAATCCTTGTGCTTTCATATTTGTTTGCATTTATAATAACATGTTTCAGTTGTTATTGTAGTATTGGTTTTTATCCTGCTTGGGAGCTGTTTTGACTTATTCTTTATACTTCTTGATTTCTTCAATTATTTTACAATTTTTTTGATTTCAACCATCATTTGCTTTTGTCTCGTCTTTATTTTCATTCTTCCTTACCTCTTATTTGAACTATAGCACCACGACTGGCAAAGTATGCAACCAGAGCTGTGAGGTACTGCTGTGTAATATAGTAGCATTTTAATAAATAATTTTAGGGCTTTGGCTCCACCTAGTGGACAACATGAGTACTGATATCATACCTATTCATGTGGGGAGAATTGTGGCGGTGTTGCGGATATAATGCATGGATGTGCCCCCAAATCAAGGCTTCAATTCTGATCTTGCCTTGACAGTCCACATCTTTGTAAGGCACCCATATCTAAAAGAGTTAATGAGGAAATTAATCTGCTGAAAAAAACAAGAGGCCAGAAGTAGACAGGTGTGGTTTCCTGTTATTTAGTGACCTCCTTTCTGACTCTGTGAAGTGTTTAAAGTAAGCGTCTCGATGCTCTCTCTTCATCTGGTGATGGTGAAATGGCTCTGTTCATCCTCATCTCTTTCCACCTGATTCTGCAAGTTCAGCTACAAAGTGAGTTTCATTTTAGCACTAAGAGGTTTTGATTCACTGTGTTTCTGTTTGCTGGGGAACAAATAACTTCAAGCTGAGGACTTTAATGTAGAGCACACTGTAACCAGTATCGCTGGAACGGATGAATTATGTATGTTTTGTAATGTGATGGTATTGAGAGAATCTCTACATATGATGCATATTGTTAATTTTTGCGTTTTAATTTTTGATATATGATAACATTACAATAGGAAGTGATGATTTTAAACTGTATTCAGAAATGATTTTCTATCATTAGAACCAGTATGTATTGTTCGATTTGTATATCCGAGGGTTTTAGATCAGTTTTACTCTGCTGTACTCTGTTGTTTTAAGAGTTTTACTTCAAGGCCTGTTTATTGTTTTGTTGTCATGGTTTTATTATCCATGTTCATTGAGTTTTATAGTTTACACATTTACTTCTGAGCTCTTATTAGTTTGAAACTTTATTTTCTTTACCCTCCTGCTGCACTCAGCTACATTAAAGCTGTTCCTCAGTGTAACCTGTACTTAAATGAAGAAAAAGTGACTGATGGGGGGTCTGTGTGTTGCAGATGTTCCTCAGCCTGAGCTCTCAGTGTCTCCTGCAGTTCTCACACAGAGAGGTTCAGTACAGCTGGACTGTAAGACTCTGTATGCTGGAGTGTCTCAGTGTTATTTCTATCCAGAGAGAGACAAGACAAATCTAAAACACTCACCATCCTGTCAGCTCTCACTCACTGGCTCTGAACTGACCAGGTGGACAGGACGCAGTTACAGATCACCTCAATCGGTCAACATTACCTGCTACTACACTGTGGATGAATTCAGAACTCAAGCTGAATCTCCTCACTCTCTACCAGCTCCAGTCACAGTCCTGGTCCTGGGTAAGTTACTGATCAATCTCTACTAGAAATAATCTCTTATTTACAGTCATGGATGAGTCAGGTTTTTCTCTGGGTTCTAAGAGGCTTTTTCCATTGTTAAAGTTTTCACAAGAAAAACAAACGTTTTCAAAACAAAAACTAGTAGTCAGTGCATTTCCTGAACAAAATGCAGAGTGATTGCACAGCTTAAGCAATTTCAGAATGGTTGCTAAGGTGTTGCCAGGTGGTTGCAATGGTATTTTATATGGTTGCTAGGTTGTTAATGGGTGGTTGCTATAGTATCCCAGGTGGTTGCTAAGGTTTTGCTAGGAGGTTGCTATGGTATCCAAGGTGGTTAATAAGTTGTTGCTAAGTGGTTGTTAGGGTGTTGCGAGGTGGTCGGTATGGTATCACAAGTTTTTGGTAGGCAGTTGCTATGGTATTCCAGGTGGTTGCCAAGGTATGCCAGATGATTGCTAAGGTGTTGCTAGGCAATTCCTATGGTACCCGTCGTAGTTGCTATGGTGTTGCTAGGCAGTTGCTATGGTATTCCAGGTGGTTGCTATGATATCCCAGGTGGTTGCTAAGGCATTGCTAGGCGGTTGCTATGGTATCTAAGGTGGTTGCTAGGGTGTTACTAGGTGGTTGCTATGGTAACCTAGGTGGTTGTTAAGGTGTTGCTAGGCAGTTGCTATCGTATCCCACGCGGTTGCTATATTGTTGCTAAGCAGTTGCCATGGTGTATGGGGTGTTTATTTAGATGTTTGTAGGGAGCTGCCAAGTGTTAGCTCCATTTTGTTGAAATGAATGGGAATCTTTGAGAGGAACAAAGGATGAAAAAACAACATATAGAGGAGTGCAGGAGTTTGTGTGGCAGCAAAAATGAATGGGACTCTATAGGAGAAATGAGGGATGAGGAAAAAAAGACAAACAGATGAGTGTAGGTCAGAGCAATATTGAATTTGTAGTCGGGGGCCTGCGCTGAGGTAGTATATGCGAAATGGAGCATTTCGGTCAAGCAGAAGTACAGTAGATGGACATACAATGTTCTACCCCATTCATTCTCATGGGAAAAAAATCCGAATTTAACAAAGATTGGACGAAAACTGTATGTCAGATCAAAAAGCTGTATGCAAGCACACCATTCCCGTTCAGACAGAATATTTTGAAGTTGGAACGGTGTCGATATCTCGAAAGCTGGGGGATGAGTTAGCGGACAAAAATCCGGCAGAACATAGTATGTATAAATGGGATAACAACAGTGCAATGCACAATCACTAATCAAAATAAAAAATTAAGTATGAGTTTGTTGTTCAATGAACTCAATCAATCAAACACTGACTCTGTAGTTATTCAGTACCTGTGGATGATACCAGTGTTAAAGAGAAATAATAATGAAAAAACATTTGTGTTTTCCTTCCTATCTTGAAAAAAAAAGTTTCTTTTATTTGTTGTTTATTGTTTCTAAATGTAATATTTAGTAACGTTTCATGTTATGATTGTTTTGTTAGTTACAACATGGAATTTTCAGTCATTTGTTTTAATAAAACAATCATAATTAAAGTAGAGGGTCACTCACAGCAAAAGGATTTAGTCTAAAGTGCAAGTCAGTCAACGTACAAATGTGTTTTCAACTCTGACTTTGAACCAATTCAGTAGAATCATCCACATCAGTCTTAAAGGAACAGTAACAGTAAGTTGTGTGTTCTGGAGAATAAAGAGAGGTTGGGAAACAGTCATGTAAAAATGAGTTTTAGTACATAAAACCACAGTAATGCCAGGTGATTTCTGTCACATAAATAACGGGGAAAAAAAACCCATGAGAATGTAGAATATGAACCCTTTAGTCTTATATCCAGTGATCTGTCCAGTAGGTTGTCTGATGGTGGATCTGTCTGTATGTTGCAGATGCTCCTCAGCTCTCAGTGTCCACTTCAGGGAGAGGCTCTGTACAGCTGAACTGCACACCTCCGTATGTTGGAGTCTCTCAGTGTTATTTCTATCCAGAAGGACATGAGAGAGATTTAAAGTTTCCATCCTGTCAGCTCTCACTCACTGGAGCTGAACTGACCACATGGGCTGGACACAGTTACAGTTCACTCGAACTCGTCAACGTTATTTGCTACTACTCTGTGAAAATATCAGATAGACAGCTTCTGTCTCCTCACTCTCTCCCAGCTCCAGTGAGAATACTGGGTAGGTCACTGTTTATATGACTGTAATATCACTGCTGGGAATCATAAATACAGTCGTATGAATGAGCTTCACTGTTTCACTGACCTCTCTGCAGATAAGAAACCAACAGTGACAGTCAGTCATGATGATCAACGTCATGAGTTCACTCTTGTGTGTGAAATATCACTGTCACTCAGCGCTGATGTTGGGTGTGATTTCTACATTGGAGATGAGAAGTTAAGGTGGTTGATGTCTCAGAGGACGAGGTCTGGATCACTGGCTTGTAGTTTGACATTACATAAGGATTTTCTTTTCAGTCGTATGAAATCAGCGAAGAGCAGAGAAGTGAGCTGTGATTATTCACTAAACTCTGACCAAACCGTCCACTCTCCACTCAGTGACTCATACAGCCTCACACGTGAGTGTCTTATACTGAATATCACTGTTACATTTACTGGTAACACTTTATTTGAAGGATATGTACATAGAGACCTCATAACACGTACATAACCATTGAATAATGTCGTTATGAAGCATTGCTTGAACATTTATAAACAGGTTATGTTTGAATGACACAAGGTGCTTAATGAAATAAATGACATTGTATTGGCATAACAGACCTTAATTAAAGAGATGGACAGTTGTATGCAGCCTTCAAATGAAGTGTTAATTACAAGGTGCCTCACTGAACTATATAGTTAACTGGCACATTTCATTTTATGCATTAAGTCTGTTTTTCAAAGCTTATCCATGCAGTTCATTTTGTATGAGTGTGTTTGTTTCCTCTTTTGCCAGAACTGCCTCCTTTACCAACTCCAGAAACTACAACGCAGTCAAAAAGGCAGAAATCTACCACAAGTCTGTCAAATTCTTATCTTACACAGACTGGATTTATATTACACTGAAATTATCTTTTTAAATAAACTGAATATTTCTTACTGCAGATTTTACAAAATCCTCATCTGTTCTGAAGACCACCTTTATACAGTCACATGCGGTGAGCGGTCAAATTCCATGTTGTTTTGATTTTCTAAGTTAAAATAAGATAACACATCCTCTACAGAGAACACATTTCTGCATGTTTTAATAAACAATTTCTGATTTTACATATTGGAAAGTTTTACATATTGGAAAAAATAAAACATTAAATATACACTAATGTGCCAAAATCGTAGGATAGCAGTATGCAAACTGATTATGAAGTGGCATTACCTCTGGTCAGTGTGCTCATGGCAAAGCAATGTGAATTGTCAGAGTTTGAAGGAGGCATGGCAGAGGGTGCCAGATGGGTGGGACATTCCATTTCTGGAGTTGTGCGGGCATTAAACATTCCTCAATCCACAGTGTCATGTGTGTCCCGGGAATACATCAGTGAAGGCCTTACCACCCACAGTGGACAGCGCAGTGGCCATCCACGGGTGCTTAATGATCGTGACCGGCGCCGTTTGGCTAGAATTGTCTGTGCAAACAGACAAGTGACTCTGGCAGAAATCACATCCACACTCAATGCAGGAGGCCCCACACACATTATCCTGCAGGTCAGTGCCATGTTCTTCAGCTTCCATGGGATATGGGAGCAGAAGACCCATCAGAGTGCCTCTGTTAACACCACAACACCGGACACAGCGGGGCTTGTGAGTTTGCTAACTGGACCCTAGAGGACTGGCAACATGTGGCGTGGTCCGATGAGTCATGGTATATGTTTCAGGCTGATGGTAGGGGGTGTATGTGATGCAGACCCCATGAAGCCGTGGGCCCCAGTTGTCAACAAGGCTCTGTGCAGGCTGGTGGTGGTTCCATACTGTCGTGTTTTCATGGCATGGGTTGGGTCCACTGGTTTGCCTACGTTGTTGCTACATTTCACTGCTTGGTGATCATTTGCAGCCCTTCATGGACTTCATGTGCCCCCACAATGATGGGATATTCCAGCAGTATGATGCACCCCACCGTCGGGCCCAGGTTGTCCAGAATTGGTTCAAGGTGCATTCTGAAGAGTTTCAATGAATGGCGTGGCCTTCAAGTTCACCCAACATGAAACCCAATCAAGCATTTATGGGATGTGGTGGGGAGGTCCATTCACACCAGATATCCTGCACCTGCAAACACCACAGTGCTGTGGGTGGCTATCCAGTTGGCATAGCTCAACCTCCCTCCAGACGTCTTCTGTCCACTGGTGGAATCGAAGCCACATCGAGTAGCTGCACTTTGCCGGGCTAGAGGGGGTCCTACAAAATATTAATTCCTATCCAATGACTTTTGGCACATCAGTGTAATGTGACATAACAGTTTATATTTTATTTTTTCCATTACGTTAAATTCAATACAGTTTCTGTAGAGGGTGTGTTAACTTATTGTCACTCAGAAAATCAATACAACATGGAATTTAACTGGAGGTGCTCAAGCCTTTCTATGCAGAAGTATGTGTATAAAAGATGAATTACTATTTATTCTAAGCTACATTTTATATATTTGTAGCAGCTTAAAGACCAAGCATTTTTAATTGTTGCTATTGTGTCGTGACTCAGGAACAAGACAGGAAAATAAGAGAGAGCCTAAAAAATGTTGAAAGGTCAAAACAACCTAGATGGATAATCACAGAATAAATATTTGTAGCATCATGTAATAACATGATAGTAACATCTGTAATTTATACATGTAAAGTACATGAATGTACTTTGTGAAGCTTATTCAGTTAATCTCAAGATACAGGAGTGCTATATATAAAACGTTTAACATTAGAATGTAATCTGTTCACACCCTCTAACTGTTGTGTTTTTTAATCTCAGCTGCTCCATATGACGTTATTACACTCCACGGTCAAACCACCATTGCCTGTGAGTTTTAAAGTCAATATTCAGGTCTTGTCAGCTCCAGATAATAGCTTAATAGAGATGTTAGCCTTAATTAACTTTGAATGTGTTTTCCCCCATAGCTCTCACAACCTATTCTAACTACAATCAGCACATCCAAAAGGTGCCTGAAGGTGAGGTTGTTTTAAATTTAGATGTGTTTTGTACATCTCAACTGTCCTGTGTGCACACCACACGTTATATATTAGTCTAAGACTGCTAGTCTAACTAAGTCTCACTATGTAAACAACACAGTTCAATTGTCATGCTCCCTTCTCAGCTTTACCTGACTATAACATGTGGTCCAAACCAGTACTGGTCAGATACAGACACAGAGTTTGACATGTAAATGTCTAGATCACTCCACTGACTGTAAAAGCACATACTTGTCAGGAATCGACATCATTAGTAAACTGAAGGAGAAAAACACTTTGCAACACATTTTAAATGGTGGGAAACTTATATGTGAATAAACTCAGGTGCATCCTGGAAGTGGCGTTTACCTTTATAAAATCAACAGGACTTTAAATGTACTAGGCTTTATGCAGCTCTTATTAACCTCTTGTGTTGGTCCAGTTCCTTAGACCCCATGTGTCAAACACAAGGCCCGCAGGCCTGATCAGACCCGTGACACAATCCTATCCGTTATCAGTATTTCATTTTCTATTAAGAATGTCCCGTTTTACTATGCGCTACACTACAGTCCCCAGCATGCACTGCAACATAATGTGTGCTCCGACTCTCCTACCCCAACAGCAATCTATGGGACAGTGGTTACACCTCAGTTCTGCACAATTCTACACAATTCCACACCAGTCATATCACCAAACACACCAACTTCAGTTCAGCCAATATAAACTCCTAACATGAGCTCAGCAGCTCAGAAACTGAGCCCAAGTCTTAATGAACTTGCAGCAAAGAAAACATGCCAGGTGTCTTGTTCAAGCAAATAGGTGGGTTTAAAAGACTGAGCTCCTGGGGACATTTACATTTCAATATTTCAAGTATTCATGTAATAATTCAAGATTATTACTATTGACATTTTTGCATATTTTAATTAAACAATGGTCAGTTCAGTTTATAGCAAAATGTTAATTAAAATAAAATAAAAAAACATTGGTGTTCTCTGGCGCATGGATTTTTTGATATTTTAGCCCTTTTAGTGGATGAGTTTGACACCCTTACCTTAGACTAACTAAGTACTTAGTCAGACCATTATGTGCATGTGAATGTAGTTAGTGTGACAGAACAAATATGCAATAAACATCTATAAAATTGATCTGAGATTTTTAAAATAATACTGATGTAAACTATGGAAGACTTTTGTTTCTGTAGTCCAACAATATCTAATACATTTTTTTTTTCATTATTCAGGAACAGACCTTGTCACAATGCTATCAGCTTCTGTTGTCGGTGTCTTATTGGCTGAAGTGATGCTCATCTGTCTTTGCAGATTCATCAGTAAGTCCATTATTTGAAATGTACTGATACCAAAAGAGATCAGGAACAAATCAGCTCAGTTTCACAACTATGGATTTACTGTGTTGGATGATTTGTGTAGTACTTTGGAGGAGATTAACTATCTGAATCAGCTGACACCTTGTTCTAGCTCTGTGCGCAAGTGGCAACAACTATACTAGAAATCTGCCTTTAAGGTGTCTAAAACACAGACAATGTAAGGAGGGAGCATCAGAGAGTAGGAGAGTAGGGGCTGGAGTGGGGCAAGGTTTGTACACATCCCTGTGACAGTCTCTGTTTGTGTCCCTGTAACAGTCTCTGTTCACATCCCTGTTACAGTCTCTGTTCTCATCCCTGTTACAGTCTCTGTTCTCATCCCTGTAACAGTCTCTGTTCACATCCCTGTAACAGTCTCTGTTCTCATCCCTGCTACAGTCTCTGTTCTCATCCCTGTAACAGTCTCTGTTCACATCCCTGTTACAGTCTCTGTTCTCATCCCTGTAACAGTCTCTGTTCACATCCCTTTTACAGTCTCTGTTCTCATCTCTGTTACAGTCTCTGTTCTCATCTCTGTTACAGTCTCTGTTCACATCCCTTTTACAGTCTCTGTTCTCATCCCTGTAACAGTCTCTGTTCACATCCCTGTAACAGTCTCTGTTCACATCTCTGTTCACATCTCTGTTCTCATCCCTGTAACAGTCTCAGTTCACCTCCCTGTAACAGTCTCTGTTCTCATCTCTGTTACAGTCTCTGTTCTCATCTCTGTTACAGTCTCTGTTCACATCTGTTCTCATCACTGCGTAGTCAGCTGACCTAGCACATAAACTAAATAGCAAGGCCTTCATGAACTACAGCAGATATGGGGCATTAATAATTTGAATGTGTGAAGAACATGGGGTCCACAGAGCTAGAGTTAAGAATCACCGATTTATTTAGAGTCATTATTTTCCTTTCAGGAAAGAAGAAAACTGGGAGCCTTTGCAGGGTTGCAGGTGAGCTCACAAACATTCAGTTCCTTCATTTCAGTACACCAGCCAATGTGGAATAAATAATTAACTTTAATTTTTTGCAGAGTGTCTGACTGAAGATAATGATGAAACCGTTTACACAGCAGTAATCTACAGTCTGTCCACCCAGGAGCAATAAAGAGAAATGTTTCAGCTTCCTGAATGATGGACGGCACACAGGATATGCCACTGGTCCTCCATCAAACAAGATTAAACATGAATTCATTACAAATCTAATATTGTTTTTAAATGTATATATAAAGTTGGTGTTGCATGTCAAAGACCTACAATGTGATCCTACTTCTTGCTATAATGAATTTCTTAAAAGGAATAAAATTTACACTTTGTTAACATTAGTCTAATGTTTTTAGAGATAAATATGTTCATACTTAAACTGAAAACATTAAAATCTTCTGAAAATCCGAGTATGCTGTCTTGTGTTAGCTAGATGTGAGGTTTGTAGAGTGAAACTGTTTCTTCTGCTAAATTTGAGTAACGTTGTTAGAGGTGCAAATTCCACCTCATGCACTCATGTTTAGCAGTCTAAAACTTTCCACAAGGGGGCGGCATTATCAGCCAAATAGCTTTTGATACTGGCTATTCCTTCTATAAGAAAGAAGGAATTCAACCTGATCTTCATATCAGTGGTCAGTGTGCTGAGAAAGGCCTGAAACAAATTCAGTACAGCACACTTGAGTATTAAATGAATGCTTACAATTAAATTTCTCATTTTAAAACCTAAACTGACTACTTTAAGGCCAAGTTGTTGATTTTGTCTATGTAGACTATTGACTATAGACTGGCTACACAGACACAAAACTCAGTGTCCCAGATGCTTCTTTACTATAGTCATAGGCAAAAGGTTGGGCACCCCATGTTTTGTTGTTATGTTAAACTGTATGGCTGTGATTATTCAGGCTTCACATATAATCAGCTCTATTTAGGCGACTTGTGAAGCTGCTTTGAAAATGGATTGAAGTGAATCAAAAAAGGGCAAATTGAAATGTTGGTGGAAGGAAGTTATTCATAATTCATAATATCAGTATAAATTGATTTTACTCCAAGAACTTGAAAAAGTTCTGACTGATATAGATTAAGTAGGTCACCTATCCAGATGTTCAGATATTACCTTAATAAGACGTCCACAGGCATCAAAGACAGACAACCAGCAGATGTTCGGTTATGGAACTAGTGTTGCAACAAATGGGCAGAAGAGGGTCAAATCCCAAAAGCATGTAAAACAGTGCCTTATGTTATTTGAGTGTTGGATTCACACTGTAAGATGTTAAACACATTATGCTCAGATTTGATTCGATATCACCAACATTCCATGTTCTAACTGCACCAGTAGCTCTGCCTTCTCATGAATAAGTATATGTTCATGACAGTGGTGCTCATGTCCACCAGAGGACATCAGAGCTCTATTATACTATGTATAGAGTAATGAACACTTTTGTAGCTCTACTTTGCTGGTGTACAGAGACTGTAGCTCATCTGATGTATAGTTTTGCTAGTCTTCCTCTTCCTCTACTCCTTAATCAGTAACACCGCTGTGTCAGATACGCTCCTACCAGCACACACACACACAGACACACTACACACACAGACACATCAGTGTCACTGCAGTGCTAAAAATGGACCACCACTCAACATCTGAACACCAGCAGACCTGTGGTCAAAAATTGACAGTGAAAAATGGGAAGTAATATGTTTCTAATAAAGTGGCCAGTGAGTGGAGGAACAAGGTAGGTGTTTCTAATAAAGTGGTCAGTTTAAAAGTACAAGGTTGGTGTTTCTAATAAAGTAGCCAGTGAGAGGAAGTATAAATGGAGAGACGCTTGCATTTTTTATTTTCATTATCATATGAAAAAGTTAGGGAATAAATCATAAAAAACATTTCATTTATTAAATGTTTTATTAAATGATTTAATTTAATTTCAATAAATGACATAAGCTTGTATAATTGTATACAATCTATCAAATTGTTTAAACATGTACTATAAACAATTAATTAATTACATAATTAAAATAAAGTAATTAATTATTGAAACATTTATTTATTTAAACATGTCTGCTGTTATTGTTTTCTAAAACATGGCGGCTCCATTCATGATGACACTGAAGTCGGCTTCTTGTTTGAATTTCCTGCTCATCGTTAAATGGTGCAACAATTACATTCGGGCTGCACCATTTAAGGTGGAACAGGAAAATACGAACAAGAAGCTGGTGAATAATAAGCTTCAGCTTCGTCAGAGTACACATGGAAGCACTTCTTTAAGCCTTCTCCACAAGATATTATGGTCTTTTTACTGACTTAGATTCACACAGGATTAATATAACCTCAGTTTATTTCCACTGCTCGTTTTACAGGAAGTAAAAGGCGCTGGAATCTTTGCTGAAACCGGAGCACGAAGTTGGTAAAAATGACTGACATGGCGCATTTGGACGGGTCTAAAATCACTGAGAAATGCTGGTAAAAATGACATCACCCACCCCCTCAAATAAAACTAATCCTGTCCCAATAGGGCCTAATGTTGGTGAGGTGGTGAGTTAGGTAGTAGGTAGAACTATTAGATCTAGCTGATTGTGTAGTAACTTAAAAGACATAGCTAGTACTTTTAATAGTTTTCTGTTGCAGTGAGAGATGGTGATAGATTGGACAGATTATCAGCGAGTCACCCAGACGCACCACTGTAAAAATACCTCAGTAAGTAGAAGGTCAGTGGTTAAATGCAGACCACAGTATAATTCAAAAATAGCAGGGTATTTATACTGACTGCCTTAAACCACATACAGAGCGTGGCCAGTGTGAGAATCTACACGTCTAGCAGATATAATACCGTTGTTGTAAGACCTTTTAAATTCTCTGTGCTAGGAGAACCATTATATGATGGTGTGCAGTGCTTGTTTTCATTTCAATTCATAGCCCACTTATATTAATCTTATATAAAATCAACTATTCTGTAGTTCAAATGAAGAAAACCAACATCTTGAAGAAACTATTCCTGTATTTATATAAGTGATAGTCACTGCTAATGCTAATACAATGAGATGAGAATCAAAACATGCTGTACCTGAGCTGCTTCTACGCAAAGAGTCTGCATGAAAGTTTGTTTATTCATAAGGATTAAAACATCAGACTAAATGACAACATATTCAAAAGAGGTAAGACTCCTGAAGACATACTGAGTTCAAGGCATGTTAAAATACACAGTGGTGCTGAATCAGCTGCAGGCTGAAGAGCTAAGAGTCCGTCACTGTGTCAGTGATGCTGCAGTACATATGATACTCGACGTCCTGCAGAGGTAAAAGACGAAGTCTGAGGCGACAGTTTAAGAATGCATTAAATGCATTTAACTCAGTCTTAAGCTCCATTATATCATCAGTGGGACAGAAAGTGATAAAGCAAAAAAAAGACATACAGTACAATAAAATAAACATGCACAAGTGTTTATTACTAATAAATAATTGCATTATTTATTAATTACAAGAAACAGTTTTTCCACCAAGCAATATATAGTATTTAATGTACTCCTGCTCACCTTTTTGTCTTCAGAATGGTCTTGTGTTTTTCCAAAGGGGCCTGAAAAAACAGTTATATTCAGTAACAGATTTTATTGCTTTTATTCACAAGAGCAGTTCTGTGTTGAGAAACTGACCACTGGTGAAGGACTGGAGTATGGCTAACACGACTCAGCAGATGGGCTACAGTCTCTAACTGTACACCAGCAAGGTTGAGCTACAAGAGTGGGTTTTCTGATTAAGTGACCGATGAGTGTTTCAGTCCCAGATTTGGGGTAAAATTTCCCCTGAGGAAGTGAGTGAAACTGTTACTTTTACTGACAGTGGATTTTTGTGGTCAAGAAAATGGCTTTTGTTCTCTTAGTGGCTCATTCAGGTGATACTTTATTTCAGATAGTCCTGTTTGTTTGACATAATCTGAGTACATTTGGTAAATTTGTCTTACCTGAAGGCTGAGAAGGTGTTGGCACACAGTTGATCACTGAGTAGTGGAAATTTGAGGCACTGTTCTGAAGGAAGGGAAACATAAAGCAGTACTGTAACTTTGGTGAAAGTTTAGTTCTGTTGATTATTATTGTTGTTCTGCTCATACAGAGTGACTGACGAGTCAGGAACGATCACGTATCTGTAAGACGGTGAACACTTTCTTTTAACCATGCTACATAACATTAACATAATAACAACAGCCATGTTAACATGACCCTATATTACTGGACATAATCTGTCATGGCAAAGCATAACAGCATATCTGCCATGATGTTTATGGTATGGTTATGTCACACATATGCAATGTTATGTAGCAGAGTTCAAGTGTCACTGTAAGATGTTTAACATTACATTCACCTCTTGATCTCTTTGCCATTATGTATTACGGCAATGAGTATATCTATTACATATGTTATCCATTGTTCTTATATATAATGGTAATGAGATCAATCTAACAGTAAACGACTCATAGATACTTGAGTGGTTCCTGAATGAAGTACAACACAAAGCTTTTCTCACTAATCCCTCTGGGCAACATCAGTGATACTGGAATAAGCAGTAAATAAAGTAAGAAATGTAAGAAAAATGGTGAATAGAGAAATACAAACAGCACTTGTGTCCTGGGCACTGGCCATGGTGATCATGTCTCCTGCAAAAGAAACACCATCAGACCTCGACCCGTTTGACTCACATTTGATTTAGTAATTTGTAGAATTCTTTCAGACAGAAAGTGTCTATACAGTAAATGTACCTTGATTGCCACTCTTTGAGTCCACCTTAAATAATCTGTTAAAACAAAATTTTACCATAATATTTTTGCCTGTCACATCATTGAATGATCAAAATGTAAACAAACTATCTGCATTTTAGATTCAGGTTTACAGTTATGTTTAGGATTAGGTTTAGGTGTTGTGTTGAGGTTAAGGTTAGGGTTAGAATTAGAATTAGGGAAAAGATTAGATGAATCATCATCATTGATCATCAGAATATCTTTGATCAAAGCAAACATGGACATAATCTTATTTAACAGAACTTCAGTTAAATAATCTTTCTCAGGGTTAGGTTTTGGGTTGAGTTTAGGCTGAGGGATTAAGGAAAGTTTAGGGAGTTTACTTAAAATATTATCTTTTGTTTTGTTTTTGTTTGTTCTTGTATTGGCTACTTTAATTACACATAGTTTGGGTGTTTCTCACCTCTCTGTGCTCTGCTTTCCTGAAAAGGAAGATATATTTAAAAAAACAACAAGTCAATTAAAAGTATATTTTATTCAGAATGTATTCAGAATATTGAATAACATTCAGTTCTCTAAACAACGCTGAGCTGGTTTGTTCTTGTTCTTGTCTGTATGAGTGAATCAGCTGATGGACTCACTGATAAATCTGCACAGACAGACGATCATCACTCCAGCCAGTAAGACGCTGACAGAGGTGGTTGATAGCAGCATGATGAGAAAAGTTCCTGAATAACAACAAGACGAATTTGGAATTTCTGTGCTAAGACAACACATTTTGTCACATATCACACATATTTTCTATGAGGAAATATTCAGTCACAGTCCTCTGCAGTAAACTGTTTTGCATGGTGGACTTTGAGGGATGTTCTGGACGAGGGTCTTATTGTAAAAGTTGGCCTTTTTTCAACTTCAGTTTCTTGACAGTCTGTGTCACATTTGCTTCCAGAATTAGCCGATATAGAGGAATCTATTCTTCCATCTATCTGTGCATCGGTTTTCATGCCATCAGCTGCCACACAACCCAAACCATGACAGATCCACCCCCATGCTTAACAGTTGCCTTGCCTTTGGTGGCCAAAGAGTTCCATTTTTAATTCATCATTTCACAGCACTTGTTTCTAAAATGCCTTTGGCTGATCTAGAAGTTGTTTGCATACTTGAGATGTTGACTTTTGTGATGAGGTCACAGATATCATTCTGATGACTTTTCCATGCAGATCATGTTTGTTTAAGCAACGTTGTGCAGTAGAACACTGCACCACCGCTCTTGTGTCAGCAGAACTTTTCTGTAGGTCCCTTGCTGTCATACAGGGGTTTTGCTTTGCCTTTCTGGCCAGCATACGAGCAGTTCTGAAATTTCTGAGTGTTCCAGATCTCTCCTTGACTTCCACAGTTCCCCTTAACTGCCATTTCTTAATGATATTTTGGACAGTGGAAATTGCCAGAATTTATATCTTTTTATAATGTTCTCCTGCTATGTAGGCATCAATTAGCTTCATTTTCAGGTCTTCAGCCAGCTGCTTAGAGGAGCCCATAATTGTGGAGTGTTAGCAGAAGTTTGGAAAAATCAGAGAATTTATTATGCTCTGAAATCGGATGATGACGGTTTAACCAGTCCTAATGAGTCAATTAAGGCCTAACAAATTGATAAAGTTCTGAGACTTTACAGTTGTGAGGGTGTCCAAACTTTTGCACATGCATTGCCATTTTTTCCCTATTTTTAAGTCAATTAAATATAAAGTAACTACACATTAACATTAGCAGAAATATTTTTTTAAATAATTTTGCTACAGAGCTTGAAGAATTACTAAGCAAATTCTAGAAATGAATGATAAATGTAATGATTGGTTGTTCAGCAGGCAGATGTCACTCACTCACTTCTGGACACTATTTGGATGTGATCATGATGTTTGGAGTGGGTTGTTAGAGCTACAAAGGAAAAACATTCTGTCATTAAAAACACAAAACATCTATAAAGCTATATTATCTGGAGCTGATATGCAGCCATTTCGGCCAATTATGTATGAACAGTCGTTTATCGTGTGAACTAAATGTTCACTTCAGCATCACAGGACAGTGCAGAGACTCACAGGCTGTTGTGGCTTCACTGTGGTGTGTGGGAACAGTGTATGTAGCTGCTGAGAATAGAGACAGAGAACACGTAGCGGTTAGAGAGCATGAAGAACAAAGTCATTTTAAAACAGCAACGTCTAAAATAACTCGCAGGCTTGTGCGTTTTAGTATAAACTGCAAAACTGGGACCAACAGATAAAGCTGCTACAAAAATGTACAGCTTGGTTCAGAATGTATAATCGTTCATTTTTATACTGCTACAGGTTGTTAAGCATGTATAAGATTAAATTTAATTTTATATAATAAATTATATGAAATAAAATAATTAGCTTAAAATAGCAGAACATTTCTATAAAACAATCCACTGTGTGTAAAATAAAGACAACCTGTGGTGGATTTTGGTTTTATCAGCTGTGTTGTAGTTTCTGGAGTTGGTAAAGGAGGCAGTTCTGGCAGCAAAAAAATAAATAAATTAAAACACTTATACAAAATGAACTGCACTGATGAGCTTCGAATAACAGACTTAATGCATACAAAGAAATGTACTAGTTAACAATGTAGTTCAGTGAGGGACCAATAAGAAACACTTAATTCGAAGGCTACACACATAGAGACTTCATAACACATTCATAAGCATTGCATAACAAATTTAAAAAGCAATAAATTTGAGTATTTATAAACTATTTATGTCAGTGTTTACAAGATGCCATAAGATGTTTAGTGAAGTAAATGTCATAGGATTAGCATAAGGAGTCCTAAACCTAAAGTGAAGGACAATTATTTTATTTATTACTATGAAGCATCAAGTAAAGGAACTTATAAGGCAAAGGTCGAGTTAAGACCACCACATATAATTAGTTTCCTGTACTGTTTTAGTTTGAAGGCATCTTTTGTATGCCTTTACATTAGTTTAATGTGATATTTGACATAAGCCATTTATAAATGTTTAAGTATTGCTTAATTACTGTATTATTCATGTGCTATAACGTCTCTATGTATATATCCTTTAAATAAAGTGTTACCAGTAAATGTAACAGTGATATTCAGTATAAGACACTCACGTGTGAGGCTGTATGAGTCACTGAGTGGAGAGTGGACGGTTTGGTCAGAGTTCAGTGAATAATCACAGCTCACTTCTCTCCTCTTCGCTGATTTCATACGACTGAACAGAAAATCCTTATGAGGTGTAAATCTACAAGCCAGTGATCCAGATCTCGTCCTCTGAGACATCATCCACATTAACTTCTCATCTTCAATGTAGAAATCACACCCAACATCAGCGCTGAGTGACAGTGATATTTCACACACAAGAGTGAACTCATGACGTTGATCATCATGACTGACTGTCATGTTTGGTTTCTTATCTGCAGAGAGGTCAGTGAAACAGTGAAGCTCATTCATACGACTGTATTTATGATTCCCAGCAGTGACATTACAGTCATATAAACAGTGACCTACCCAGTATTCTCACTGGAGCTGGGAGAGAGTGAGGAGATGTAAACCATCTATCTGATATTTTCACAGAGTAGTAGCAAATAACATTGACGGGTTGGAGTGAACTGTAATTGCGTCCAGCCCATGTGGTCAGTTCAGCTCCAGTGAGTGAGAGCTGACAGGATGGAAACTTTAAATCTCTCTCATGTCCTTCTGGATAGAAATAACACTGAGAGACTCCAACATACGGAGGTGTGCAGTTCAGCTGTACAGAGCTTCTCCCTGAAGTGGACACTGAGAGCTGAGGAGCATCTGCAACATAGAGACAGATCCACCATCAGACAACCTACTGGACAGATCACTGGATATAAGACTAAAGGGTTCATATTCTACATTCTCATGGGTTTTTTTTTTTTCCAAAAATGTGTTTTTTTGTGCTAAAACTGTCATGACTCATTTTTATGAGATCATTTTCCAACTTCATTTCCAAAGACCAACATATGAATCACTCCAAAATCAGTGTTTGATACTCATCAAAAAAATCATCAAGCAGCATTTTAGAACAGAGGAACCCAGAGGAGCACTTGACTCATCCATGACTGTAAATAAGAGATTATTTCTAGTAGAGATTGATCAGTAACTTACCCAGGACCTGGACTGTGACTGGAGCTGGTAGAGAGTGAGGAGATTCAGCTTGAGTTCTGAATTCATCCACAGTGTAGTAGCAGGTAATGTTGACTGATTGAGATGACCTGTAACTGTGTCCTGTCCACGCGGTCAGTTCAGAGCCAGTGAGTGAGAGCTGACAGGATGGTGAGTGTTTTAGATTTGTCTCGTCTCTCTCTGGATAGAAATAACACTGAGACACTCCAGCATACAGAGTCTTACAGTCCAGCTGTACTGACCCTCTCTGTGTGAGAACTGCAGGAAACACTGAGAGCTCAGCCTGAGGAACATCTGCAACACACAGACCCTCCATCATTCACTCATTCTTTATTGAAGCACGGGTTTCAATGTAGCCGAGCGCCACAAGTGGATTAAAAAATAAAACAAATTCTTGCTAATAAAAGCTTAGACATAAATGAATAAACTAGAAGACTCAATGAACAGCAAGATAATAAAACAATAAGACAATAAACAGGCCTTGAAGTAAAACCCAAGATTATTTTAATTAATGAAACAATAAAAATATTAAGGGACCAAATAAAAGTAACAACTAAAACAGTGAAATATTAATCAACTACAAGCAGATTAAACATGATTCAAAAACCCTAAAATAGACTATCAAACAACATATCACTGCTGTCGGAAGAAAGCCTTGTATCTCCATTTTTGACGTTTTTCAGTTTTTGACATCATTTGAAAGTTCCCATGGTCCTAAATATTTTGTGTACATTTCATGATGAATGGACCAACAGAAATGACCCAAAATTACTTCGAAAAAAGTCTGGTTCCATTGACTTGCATTAAAAGTAAAGTAGGCTTTTTCCTTTTCCTGTAAAGTTGTCATTTTGGAGATACGAGGGTTTCTTCCGACAACAGCGAAATACTGATTCTAACAATAGAAATAATTTTTGAATACAGTCTAAAATCATCACTTCCTATTGTAATCTTATCATATATCAAAAATTAAACCACAAGAATTCACTATATGCATCATATGTAGAGGTTCTCTAAAGACAATCACATTATAAAACATACATAATTCATCCATTCCAGTGATACTGGTTACAGTGTTCGCTACATTAAAGCTCTCAGTTTGAAGTTATTTGTTCCCCAACAAACATAAACACAGTGAATCAAAACCTCTTAGTGCTAAAATGAAACTCACTTTGTAGCTGAACTTGCAGAATCAGATGGAAAGAGATGAGGATGAACAGAGCCATTCCACCATCACCAGATGCAGAGAGAGCATCGAGACGCTTACTTTAAACACTTCTCAGAGTCAGAAAGGAGGTCATTAAATAACAGGAAAACCACACCTGTCTACTTTCTGTTCTTTCAGCAGAAAAAAACCCATCAGATTAATTTCTTCATTAATTTCTACAGATATGGGTCCCTTACAAAGATGTGAACAATCAAGGCAAGATCAGAACAATAAGACTTTTAATGCGAATGTAGCCTTGATTTGGGGGCACTCACAGCATGATCTGTGCACCGTCATCACATCTCTCCACATATGAACATGTATGAGATGAGTACTCACATTGTCCACTAGGTGGAGCCAAAGCTCCACCTGCATATATACATATATATATATTTTATGGCAAGCCAAACAGGAAATATACAATGAACATTGATATGTATGTAAGGGTTCAGCCGGCCCCGCCTGCTGCCGGCAGAGGGCGACGGCGGCAGGGTGTCCAGCCTGCGCCGCCTGCTGCCAGCAGAGGGCGACGGCGGCGGGGTGTCCAGCCTGCGCCGCCTGCTGCCAGCAAAGGGCGACGGCAGCAGGGTGTCCGGCCTGTGCCGCCAGCTGCCAGCAGAGGGCGACCGCGGCACAGGGCCATAACTTCAGGGAACTCCAATTCCCAGAAGTCCGCGGGCTGATTAGGCCCAACGCGACACACCTGCGGACTCCTCTACTTAAGGTCAAGGCAAATAGTGGTGTTTGTCACACCTTTGTAGAGGGGTGACCGGTACGGTACTTAGTGTCAGAAAAGAAAAGAAAAGAAAAGAAAAGAAAAGAAAAGAAAAGCAAAGCAAAGCAAAGCAAAGAAAAGAAAAGAAAAGAAACTGCCCCAAAACTAAAAAGGAAAAAGAAAAGAGGGCTGAGAAGAGAAATTGCCCCAAAACTAAAAAAGAAAAGAAAAGAGGGCTGAGAAAAGAAACTGTCCCAAAGTGGCTTAAAGCCAAAAAAAGAAAAATAAATAAATAAATAAATAAAAAAAAAGGAAAAGAAGAGGTCTGCCTTCCCTTCGTTTTTGGAGTGGAAGTGTTTTTTTGTTTTTCCTATTATCTGTCCTCTCACCTCTCTAGTTCAGCCTTTGTTTGAGCACGCTGCTCTCAGCGTCTCTTTTTGTTTGCTGTTCGTCATTTTCCCGCCTTTTCTTTTCCCCCTTCCTTAAGGCGTTATTGCCAGTAGTTACCTGTGCTCCTCAGTGGCGCAGTGGCAACGCCACGAAGCACCGATCAATACATCGCCGATTCGAACCTGGCGTTGGGTCACCTCAGGTGCATGTTTCGGATTCACAACCCAGTATCACAACAACTCATTTTTTCCCTTTTTTTTCTGTTTCCATTTCTGCACTTGGGTCCGCCTCCCCGCCGTCCCGTAACAATGTATTGAATGAACATTGATATGTTCACACATCATTGTTACTCCAGGTCAGCGGTCAGCAGCATGCGGCTCTTTTACTGCCCTTTACAGTAAAATAAAGCTCTGCTGGTCGTTCAACACAGTTTAACAATAAATGCTCTTAAACTCTGGAGGCAAAGAGAGAGATTTAAGATGAACATCGATAATTTGGACACGAATGGACTGATTTGCATTTATAATAACTCCAGCTGGTTTCCTGATGTGTTTAATCTGCAACGAGAAAATGTCAAACACTAAAAAGTTGTAAAGCTGAAGTCAGTTTCTCATTCGAATTTTCCCGTTCCACCTTAAATGGTGCAGCAGTTACATTCTGGTGGGGAAAATTCGAACCAGAAGCTGGTGAATGAGAAGCGACTTCAGCCTCATAAAAAGTCAAACATGAGGAGACATTTTACAAGAAACTGTTCCACTTTTGAGGAAAAGTTTCCTGCTGGAGATGCGAGAAAAGCAGCTATAGCTGAGTTAAAGCTTAAAGCAGAGCAAAGTAAGTCTGAGTTTTGGTTTATATTATGTTTTTATCATATACTAGTTCATTAACACACACTGAGACACATTTACAGCCAAGACAGGATAATGGACATAAAATATTGTGGCTCTCAAGGTGGTTTGATATTTGTGGCTCTTCTTAACATTTGGGTTGCGACCCCTGATCTAGGTTGAGAGTGGTGCATTACCAAATAATATTCAGGCAAAAGCAGCTCTCTGCTCTGGCTTCGACATGGACTATGCATACCGCACCCCAAAACACCAAGAAGTTATCAAATGATAAATATACAGTCAGAATTTATTTGCAGTAATAACTTTACCTGGATATTTAATCACCATGTTTTAAATCTGAAGCATTATAGATTTTTTTTATTGTGATTTTATTCTCCATTGTTTTTTTAATTTCCTAGTAAAAAATAGATAGAGAGAGAGAGAGAGAGAGAGACACACACACACACACACACACACACACACACGTATGTATATAGAATAATAAATATATAATGAAAGTTCCATACTTGTATATAATATAATGTATATTTTATAAAGTTCCATATATGTGCGCGCACACACACACACACACACACACCTACACACACACACACTCATATTTATTAATCTTTATTATCACTTAGATTATTTTAAATTGTGATTCTAGAACTTTGAACACTAGTGTGTGTGTGTGTGTGTGTGTGTGTGTGTGTGTGTGTATACAGAGTAGCAGCATCATATTACAATCATTTTATATATTTCACTGCAGTTAAATTGGTTTATTAATATTGAAAAACGATGATTCCCGACGCTCTTTTCTCTCTTGTTGATCGTTGAATCTACTAGTAATCAATTACTGTGTTGCATTTGTTGGGAAACAAACTGAAAGCTTTAGTGTAATGCACAGTGAATAAGGTATCAGTGTTATGGATGAATTATGTGTCTTATAATGTGACGGTGTTCAGAGACACAATCAGACGCTTGTGGTGAATTCTTCTAATTCCCAGATGTGTGTAGAGCTGCTTGTGTATTCAGACAGAGGGTTAGATTACAATAGGAAGTCATAACATTTGACACTGTATTCAGAAATGAGATGATATTGTTAAATCCAGTGTGAATTGTTTGACAGAGGGTCTGTATATTGCAGACGTTTCTCTCTTAGTTTTGTGATGTAACACTTTGAAGCTTTTGGCAAGTTTGCAGTTGTATGCAAAAGTTTGAGTGAGCAAGTCAACACAAGCTCTAAAGAGAACAAGTTCTTTAAGATTGTCTCAGAGAAATAAAGTATATTTCAATATTATAGTAATGAAGGATCACTGATTTCTGAACTGTTTCTCCTGAACCCCCCTTAGGAGAAAAGAGGAGATTAACACCAGCATTTCACTGTGAGAAGTTCTGGTGATGAAGAAGAAAAGTGTGAGTTCTCCATTTGCACTGAGAGATGACTATAAGATCTCACACTTTTCTTATGGAGATATTATTCAGCTGAGATGAGTCAGACACTAAAGAGTTCAGCCACGTGTGTGACATTTTGATCAAAGTGAGAAAATCTGAGTTTTAATTCTCAGGAGTCAAATTCAGAAACAGGCGAAAATGAGTTCAGTCTCACTGATATTAAACTGGACTTAACTGTGTCTAGGAGAAGAACCTGAGATCAAGAGGAGATCTCCTTTAGAATGTATCTTTCCTCTGTGTCTCACACTCTCAACTTTTTATTTGAAGTTTGATTGACAATTTTAAGGCAGTATGGTAACTAAGTTAAAACTGTTTTTTTGTGTTTATTTGCTGAATTTAACATACTGGGGGGGGAAAAATAACCTTTACACAGATCACATTTTATGTTTTATGATACATTTCAGGTTTTTGTTTTATTTCTTCAAGAAAAGAAATAAATATTGTGTAGTACAATGTGCAGAAAAATGCCATATATTCATCTATTTTCACTTAGAAAAATCAACAACACTTTCATTTGACCAACTTTTGCATACACCTGTACCTGAAACTTTCAATTAAACTTCTGTAATAAAGATTCTGTTCTCATTTGTCTCATCACCAACCAAAAATAGCCAGCCAACAGTGTCCTGTGACCACTGATGAAGGACTAGAGGATGATCAACACAAAACTGTGCAGCAGCAGATGAGCTATCGTCTCTGACTTTACATCTACAAGGTGGACTGACAAGGTAGGAGTGTCTAATAGAGTGGACAGTGAGTGGACACAGTGTTTAAAAACTCCAGCAGCACTGCTGTGTCTGATCCACTCTTACCAGCACAACACACACTAACACACCACCACCACATCAGTGTCACTGCAGTGCTGAGAATGATCCACCACTCAAATAGTACCTGCTCTGTGAGGGTCCATGGGGGTCCTGACCACTGAAGAACAGGGTAAAAGGGGGCTAACAAAGTATGCAGAGAAACAGATGGACTACAGTCTGTAACTGTAGAACTACAAAGTGCTCCTATATGATCAGTGGAGCTGATAAAATAGACCATAAAGATAAATAAAAGGTAGGTTTACCTAATAAGGTGCTCAGAGAGTGTATATGGCTTTCATTTCCTTTCAGGGGAGCAGGGGACTATGAGGTGAGGAACTTCTGACTTATATTATCAATACACTGCATAATACTTCAAGATTTAAGAGTAGGTTCTGCTATGATGCAAAAAAGAAAGATACACAAACACTTAATTGCTCATGAGACATCAATACCTTGTGTACCGCTATGTTTCCTTGCTGTTTGGTCTGATTGGGCTGATTATATGACTTCATAGGTATTCAGGTGAGTTCTCACTACCTTTATGTATCAACAGGATAGTTTTCCTGCCCATCGTTCCGTTCAGTTCCACCACTTCAGTACACTTGTAATAATGTAGAGTGAATGATTAACATTCGATTTGGTCCCCTTACAGATGCTGATGAGACAGATTACACAGTGGTGATCTAAAGTCTGTCCACAGCAGCTCTCACAATGAAAAGGAACCCTACAGAGTCATCTGAATGATGGACTGTCCACAAAATATAATTATAACCAAGTGTAGTGTTTTTAGTGAAGATTTTAGTGAACACTTTCATGTTCATTACATGTATTTTTAGGCATTCACTGTTTACATGTGTTCATTCCTCTGCGTTTTGACACAGAATTAGTTCAAACTGAGGTTCTCCAGTAAAATACACAATTAAGTAGTCAGAGCTTAGATATTTACAAGTGCAATGGTTTTATATTTAAACCTACTTTCTATTGGGAGGTGTCTGTCCTGGTATTTTCAGTGCTGTTATTAAAGATATTTAATTTCTTTTAAAGTTGAAAGATTTAGATTTATCATAA